TATCGACTCACTATCCCGACCTTCTCCGTCTGGACATATATAGAAGCTACGATTCTCACGAGTCACGACTAAAATCATCGAGGCTCTCCTTTCGCGTGTGCCTGTCCTTTTATTTTCTTAATCCTTCATCTGGGGTGTCACATTTGAATATCGAGATGGGAAGAACAAAACTGTTTTGTTTGAGCTTTGTCGTTGTCTTAGCGAAACATTGATATTTTCAATTGACGGAGTAGCAATGTGATATTTTTGCCATTGTATGCAATTTGCTTTTCCTACTTTGTAAGAAATTCATCCCATGCTCAATAGTTCCATCTGTACTATTTCAATAAATCGGAGTCGAATATTTTTCCCTGGCATCTAGTAAACAGCTATAAGTCAAACCAGCAGTCGCCTAACAATTCTTGAGCGGACGGCCGATCTCTCGGGTCAAGCTTCATGATCCTGAGAACAAAGTCCTTGTCTTCTTTGCAAATTTCCCGAGATGTCGTGAGACTAAATGGTCGCATGGACTCCACGGGGCTGTTTTGCATAACCCAGATCAGAACAGCTATCCGCTCCTTGTCCGCTATCTCATTGTACGAGATTGGAAACGGCCCAAAACAAAAATGATACTTCATAAGGATCTTTAGGTCGTACTCATCGTGGTCCAAGGAACATCCGGCTTGAATATATGAAAGCTGCCGCCATAAATGAGGCTTATCAGCTGTAAGGCCATTAGCTTCTTACCAACACAGGTCATTGCTCGGAAGACGTTTCAAGTACTTGCCATTGCACCAAATGACCATACATCAGTAGCAGTGCCCCAGCTCATCTGGAGATGTGCCTCTGGGCTTCTGAAAATAGCGGTCCCGATTGAATCCCCATCGCGGGCATAGGAAGAATCAACATGCACTGTGCTTCCAAAGTCGGCGAGTTGGATTTTTTTGAACCGAGATTCGCCATTTCCGTAATTCACTAGTACATTGGTGGGTTCGACGTCTGTCGATGCAATAGTAAGAGAAAAGAATCACTGTTTCCCCAGAAATGGAGTAGAATAACCTGTATGTACAAACCCTTCTGCGTGAAGCATAGACAAGGCCTGCAAGACATTCCGAGCAACTGATTTCACTTCTGAGCGGGTGAGGCGTTGGCTATTGGATGCTTCTAACAGATCGTCATCTAAATATCGAAGGACAATAGCCGGGGGTGAAGCAGGGTGCTCGATCTCGTCTAGCAAGGGTCGAAGATAAGGGGCTTTGCTTTGAAGCCGTAGAAGCACATCTCTTTCATTGTGTATACGAAAGTGATTGACACTTTTCACAATGACCTTTTCTTTCCTCGAATTGCTATGGTGTTAATGGTCATGAGAGACAGCCCTCTTCTGTACTTAAGGCCAGGAAGCGCTCACATTGCAAGCCAGACGCTGTCATAAAGCTGTTTGATGATAGTGTACTGACCCCTTCGACCTCTGATCACCTGGGTCAGGTTCATTGGTAACTCTCCTTCCTCTCTTTCCATCCCTAAAGACTGTAGGATTGTGTCAGAAGGAGGTCTTATTCTGGGAGGCGCACGCTGCACTTGCTCTAGGTAAGTATATGTACCTTTCCTATCCTTGCCTGCCGCCGCTTTAATAAGGGCGCTCAGAGATGCCTAAAAGGGCAATGCCAGGCTCGCTGAGTCCAGCTGTTTATTTGTGAATTATTTTCTGAAAACGAGGGCAAATTTTAACATCGTCACCAATCATCCGCAATACACTCCCGGGCAAAAATCATCAATTTTCTCCCAAGTCGAGGACATCCCTGACTAAGCTCATTAAGGAAAGCGCCTGGGCCCGTAAGATCGAGCTTGCATATTGCCTAGAATCCATGAGCTCGAAACTAAAACTATAAATATCAAGGACAGTAAAGCAGAGATGGGATCGAATAAGTATCTCAATTCTGGCCTTTTACCATATTGGTTGATGGCATGCATTAGGTACTTGACTACCTATTCACTTCATCTTGAATCTCTGCACCTTGCGGAGCATCAGAAATCTCAGAATTGCAAATCCAAACCCCAAAGTCCGAGCTTATCAAACAATTGAAATGCCATTGTAAATGCGCCTTTCCCCATCCCATGGTGTTGGGCTGGGGTTTCGTCAAGATCATCGCTATCAATCAATTCATTCATGGTGAATCCCCGAAGGGAACAGAAAAAAGGAAGAGAAGAAAAGGAATGCCGAATCGCTAGAAAACAGATTATTGGGAATATACGTAGGAGAAACCTCCCGAAAAGCGAATGAACAGTATTTTCTATCGTCTCTCCACCCGACTAAGAGCTCCCAGAATGAGACCCAAATCTTCCTTAATTCTCGTTGGTGGTGGATGTTCATCATCGTTGCCTTCTATTGCGAGGCGACGTTGTGTGTTCTGCGCATCGCGCTCTTCCAGTCGCTGTGCACAGATGCGTAATATTCGGGATGAAACGGTATCCGCGGAGGCGCGGTATAGTTCGATGTCATGTACACCGGCCGCGAAGGCATCGAGTGTCGGTGCCAGCCCAGATGTGATGCGTGATAATTGAGCAGAGACGGCAGATGGTGTGATAGGTGGTCGGATTGAGGATGGGGTAGAGGATTCTCCCTCTGGCTGATTCGGGGGATTGAGGAATTCCAGTATGGCTTGTTGTGAGGGATCGAGGAGAGAGGGGTCGACTTCTTCGCGTTGTGATTTACGTGAAGCTTGCTTATCTTTGTGTAGGTCGTCAGATTGAGGTTTAGCCTTAACGGTTGGGATCGCTGGCTGTCGAAGAAGCGCATTGAGAGATTGTCTTTCTTTGTGTAATCTGGAAGTTCGTTAGTTCTATACACTCGTGACAGCTCTTGGTGATACACATACTTCTGTATATGCTCCTCCAATTCCTTAATCTTGTCTGTATTTTGCAGGTTTCGCGGGTTCGGTTTTTTGACCACCACGGCTGGAGGGTTCAAATCTTCGCGACCAAGCCAGTTGGAAAGCTCCGAGTTGGTTGAAAAATCCTGAAGAAGCTCCTCTTGAATCACACGCGCTAGAAATGGTCAGATAAAAAATCCCTCTAGGTAAGTAAACGGTTCCACGTACCTGCTAAGCGCGCACTTTGATCGTCCGAGTTAGAGCCTCCTGAGGGCTTTTCCCCTAGTGCACGAGTCGCACACCAAATCAATAGTTGTCGCATCCTTCGCGGTTCAGGGATTCCGTCATCGGCGATGTGCTTGTAAAAATCCGCTGTGCCAACTTCTCTATGGGGTAACGCTGTACAAGAAAAGAGACAAAATCAGCATTCGACCATTTATAGCCCATGCAGACCGAGAAACTTACCATTTGATGTCCCTGAGTCGATCAAAAAACTGGCCCTTCGTCCTCGCATACCCAAGCTGCTTCGCCGTCGCCCTTTATCGTTTTTATCACCCTTTCCGCCTCTGAACTCTTTATTGCGCTGAATCACCGGAGTATCGGCCACCGGCAGTGCCACCTTTGTACCCTCTGGCGGTTGCACTGGAGAATTATATCCATTTGACTCAGACACTTGCACTTGTTTTTTGGCTTTTGGTGGTCGTCCTGCTTTTTTCGGCTTTTTTGCCTCCGGCTGGTGCTCTGGGCTGTCGCGAGTTCGTGATGGGCGGATCGTGTTTGTTGGTTGAGATTCAGATTCTGTGTGTGTAGTCTTCGCAGTTCCTCTCGTAGGTCTCCTACTTGGAAGCTCAATGCTTTTCCCCTTTGCTGGCACCGTGCTTGAAGTGGTCTCGTCGCCCGTTGGCTTTTTCCGTGGGCGTCCTCTTTTCGGCGTGGACTTGGGAGGCGCATTTTCCACGTCTGAATGGGGCATTTCCGGGACCGCTTCGATTAATGGCCTGGGCTTCTTTAATGGTAGTAGAGAGAACTGGAACCCTTCTGCATCCTCCTCATATGCCACTAGAGACGAATTAGAATATTCTTTCAACACCGCTCAACAACTTCCACCCCCGGCACATTACTCACCAGCTGGCCGCTTCCCTAGCTTGTTTGTGCTCTGCTCGAGATCTTGTTTACTTGCGCTGAGTCGCGTAGTCCTCTGTTCCTTGGCCTTCACGGTTCCACTGGACGCAGTTGCAGAGCGCGATTGTGTCTTCGGACCGGCCATTGGAATCGTCCCCAGCGGTTGGCGACGCTTTGTCTTGGTCGTTGTGGTCGCCAGGACCGCGACTGTCATGTCAGGAGGGGTTCACGCGGGGTTATCGTGCTCGGGAATAAACCTAGGGGTGGCAAAGCAAACACCCCCGTTCCGGTGTCGACTAGTCGCTTCGTGACGTCCTGTTCTCCAGTCAAATACCCCTGGTTGAAGAGGCTTCCTGGAGGAACAACAAGCGCGATTCCCGTGTGCGTATGAATGCTGGACTCGAGTTAACCCCCCTAAACGGCTGATCGATCTCGACACGGTCTTGCCGAATCAGACCGTTTGTTGATCAATGGGTACCTAATGTGTGTATAGGGTTGTGGCACGGTTGAATTGAGGTCGGGGCAGTCGGCTCGCGGAATGTTAGGCGCGGGTCGCGTCCCAATTCAGAACTGCAGCTGCGGAGCAGCAGACTAGGCGACTTATTCAATTCAATCGCGAAAAAGACACGCAAGGGAGCGGCAGATTGGGGTGTGAGTGGTGGGTTGGATTCTTGCACGCGGTTGTTTTGGTCGGGCGCGTGGGGACCGCGCTAGTCTAGTTTAGGACTATCGACCGTTATACTTCAACGTTGCTCTACTACTTTGACCACTCTAACTACTGCTTTTACCTATATGATCCCAAATATTAAGCGTTATTAATGAATGACTGGCTCTAAAATGCAACACCCTGATTTCTTCTACCCCCAATCCTCGCAATGCGCAGATGCTGCTAGATAAACGCTATGATGTTTTCACCGGAAAACAAAGAACACCCCGACACCGATGTTGAAAAACAATATGTTCAGTGAGAAAGAGCGGTGGGAGTTGAGCCCTGTCCACTCCAAGGAAAAAGAAAGACAGATTATAGGATCATTGGAATGACTTGAGTAGGGTGGAGGGCTTGCTTGGTGCAAGGCTGCCCTCGATGCGGCGCTTGGCTTCTTGCATCTCCTCGGCAGTGACGTTCTCCGACTGCTTGGGCATATCAGGTTCATACTGAGGAATATCAGGGCTGTGTCCGACCGACATGCCAACTCGGATCTATAAGACAGGAGTGTTAGTATGCAATTGATCAAGTATGAAAAAAATAAATCGGTTCGGCTCTTACCAAAGTTTCCAGTGCACACTTGGAGTTTTCCGCTAGGTCCTTGTCGAAATTGACCTTGCCATTTTCAAAGAGCACTAGAAGGGTGCTGCCACCAAATTTGAAGTAGCCCAGCTCTTCAGCTCGTGAAACCTTCTCGCCGGCTGTCCGGGTGATGACCGTACTGCCGACCATCATGGCACCAACGCAGACAACCATTACTCGGCCATGCGCGACAGAGTCAATAGGGACGAGAATGCGGACATTTTCGCCGTATACATCCAAGGCGGATCGGATCGCCATGGGATTCACCGTATAATACTCGCCCTCGATGGTCTTGGGTTCACCCATTATTCCATCTACGGGGATGTGGAAGCGGTGGTAGTCTTGAGGTGCCAGACGGAACACTCCGACAGCACCGTTTCGGTATCGAGCAGCATCGTCCGGGTAAGCATTGCCTAACAACCTTTCAATCGAGAACTCACGGCCCTTGACCCAGATGCTAGTTGCATCGCTCAAGCGATCAAATACCACCGAGCGACAGTCGGCGGGAGACACAACGATCTTAGGTTCGTCGGGAGCGGAGCACGGACGGGCATCAGGCTTGAGGGCACGGTAGAAGAATTCATTGAAATTGCGGAAGTTCTCTAGGGGCATCAGGACTTCGGACATGTCCAGCTGGTGGAAGTTGATAAAGTCCTTGATCTGCGATGCCGAGGCTGGGTCATCGTATTTGCGACCCTGCTTGACACTCAAAGAGCGCAATACACGGCGAACTAATAGAATTTGTTAGCAAACAGATCTTTTCGTCAACAGATACACTTGAGCTCAAGGGTTACGTACTTCGCTTCTTTTCCATATCACGACTTTTGATGCCCTTATATAGCAGCCGGATCCCGAGTCGCACATATACACTCATGCGTTCCTCGTTTATCTGACCGGTGATTCGGTCTTGTACAAGGATATTGGCCGAGTTCGCTCCGAGTTTGTACCCGCCGTATGAGATCTTTGTAATGACTTTGGAGTACCACTTGCGCTGTGCCTGGCTGGAAGTCACAAAGCCACCCATAACTAAGTTGTCAACCTGGCGCCAATCTTGACTTGCGCACGTGGCAATGTGCGTGATGATATCCGCATCAGAGCGTTTCCCAAGACGTGGCTGGTGGCAGAGTGGGCACTCGCGAATTTCGACGACGTGCTCCTCGCCCCCATCGTCCGCGAGATCATCGGGCTGGAGGTACTCATCAGCGGAACTAGATTGTTCCTCATTGGACAGGGTTGGAATAGATGTGTTGTGCGGATCGGCATTAAGAGCAGCAATGGTGTTGGTTTCCAAAGTGTGCTCGTCGCTGCTAGATGGCTCACTATCTTGGCTTCCGGCGTTTGACAGAGGAAGCGAAAGCGCTCTGGGAGCAGCCATTGAATTTCTCTTCTGCAGGGTTTGAAGCGTGTCCTCGAGACAAATAACTGCCTGGTCGAATGTCAAATCATCGTTTTCATTAGACTTATTGTCCGCGCTGAAGCGTTTGAAGAAACTGTCAATTGTCGACTCCTTTAGCGTCGAACCGAGAGTGTCAAGCATTGTCGTCATCTCCACCTTGTCAATGCGACCACTCTCGTCGGCGTCATATTGCTTGAGCATCAACCTCCAGAAATGCTGCCGGAGAGCACTGTATGGTAGATACTTCGTCTTGACATGCAGCTCTGGCGAATGTTTGTCTTCCCACCGTTCTCTATTCTTGAGCATGAGGGGAATAGTATATGATCTGAAGCCGTTCTCGTCAATCGGGGCTGACTCGCCATCATACATGTTCAGGGTGGCCAATGAATTAGTACTATCCATCTCTGAAATTCCCTCTTCTGGGAGGGAAGAAGGTGTAAGGAGACTGGGCGTTGGCGCTTCGAGCATTGATTGGCTTGAGACTGATGTGGCGGAGTGGCGCGTCTTTATTATAGGCCGAGCCAGTTTGGAGAGACTTGACGAAGAATGCGAGGGTCTAACTCCAGGTCGCTGAGCTATCTTGGTACCTGTAGTGTGATCAGGTTCCTCCAGGTCCTCTACAAAGTGATATAATCCTGTCTCGGGGTCTGCTTCTGGGCCGGACTGGATGAGATTCCGCAGAGAAAAACCCGCAGAGGCGACAAAGTCATTCCCGGAGAACTTGTCTCGATCTATCACACTGAAGCTGATGGTATAAGACTGTTCGTGCCGCATCACCTGGAACACCATTTTCTCATGATACTCTGGGTTCAGGTTATGGCGGATGACAGGAGTTCTTAAGGTTTTCCTTCCTAGAGAGGTCACGACAAAAGGATCCATATCGAACGATGTCCGCGTTACTAGAACGTCAATTAGCATCTAGCGTTCTGCGTGCAGGAGAATGATTCATACCATTTCGTTCAGGAGGCAGATCGGTCACGCGAACAATTTCCATGAAAACGATACCTTGCACTCCAGTGCCCGAGCCTGAGAATTGGTATGCACGAGCTGCCAGGGACTTGCGTCTCAAGCGAGCCAATCGAAGTCGCCGGCGCTTTTCTCCCCTTCTGGGCCACCTTCTGGGCCACCTGCCGCGTCATCAGGCTCATCGGAGCTATCCTCGTCCCGGTCCAAGTCGTCAAGATCGGCGGGAGGGATCTGAGAGTTCTGATCATCCTCATCACCCGAGTATACCAATTTCTTGAACTTGGAGTATATTTCCGCCGGCGTGGCAGCGGGGTTCGCAGAATCGGCGAGCGAGAACTGCAGCAGAATCTCGCCCGACACAGTGCTATCCTTCTTTTTAGACGCCTTCCGCTTGGAATTCAAAGTATACCATTTAGGCTATGGATCAAGTCAGCCCGAGTCCCCAATTGTCCGAGCAACGTGTCCCTTCACCTACCTGTTGGTCCACCTGGCCATCAGCGAATATGTCCTCCAATGCGGTATCAAATTCGCCCAGGTAATCCTTGCCGAATCGATCATGATCCCAACATAGAGCTTCCAACAGCGGCACGCCCATCACGGGCATGTCGAAGGAGACGTTCCATTCCGGGTTCAGGGTCTTGAATATGGTCGGCGTCGACTGCCTCGCATCTCCTAATGTAATCACCAAATACTGTACAACATGTAAGCGGTCTCGATTCGATTGTCTTTGATGGCAGGGTGCTTACTGGGTCGCTCGTGCCACCTCGATCTTTGGCTGCGAGGTTACGTCCCTAATCAAACCATTGGAATCAGCCAGGGAGCCCACCAACATAAAAATGGTCCACAATTCTTCAGCACTTACTCGAATTACTGAAACCTTCAGCAGCAGAGGTTTGAGTTCCGGTGATCGTAACGGACTGGTGCTTCTGCTCCGTCCGGGAGTCGACGGCGCGCTCTTCGCCGAAAGGTGCGAGCTCAACCGTTGGGGGAGAGCCAACCGGACCATTGCGGATGTACACAAATGGGAAAAAAATAAGAAGGGAAAAGAAAGTAGGGGGAATAGAAAGGGTTGGGGCGGGTGGCTTGCTCCCTGGTCGAGACGATTGACGTTCAAGAGCCCCCCCCAGAGCTGATCGCCGATCCGCTGGTTGTGTCCCGGGTCGATCACAGGCCAAGAAACGGATTTACCCACTGTAATTTCCAGGTTCTCTCCGTTATTTCCAAAAACAGGGATTGGTTGAATATGATCGGCCGATCTCAACGGAATTGCAGAGAAACTTGAGGGGGAAAAGTGGGAGAAACACTGCCAATTGCGGTCAAGACTCAACGGGGGTCAACGGGGGTCGACATAAAAGAAATCTCCACACCACAGGTTATTATACGATCATAAGGTGGCAATTGGAAAAATGGATGCCTATTGTGTACTTGGCGATGCCATTTCTAAAAAAAAACTTGTACAACTTATGCAATGTACTCCGGCCCTGCAGTAACCCCGCATCCTATACAAATATTGAGTGCTACTATGTATTTTATAGCCGAGGAACAACCTGGAAATCATAGTGCTATAAAAGTTCTAGAATAGGACTCATCTGGAGTCAGTCTTGTCGTCGGTCGGCTCGTCCCCAAACCTCGTCGGCATTAGATCTGCCCTTGGTTTCCGGCACATATCGATAGATGAAGACACCGAACAACCCAGCCATAGCTGCAAACACCCAGTATACCTGTCCACGGCCACCAAGGGCATCATCGAGCACTGGGAAGAATTGTGCCACCACAAAGGTTGCGATCCAGTTGACACCAAGCGCCCAGCTCTGTGCCGCGCCGACAGCTTCGGGCCCTACAAGCTCGGAGGCCAGGATAAAGGGGACCGGGCCTAGTCCGACCGCAAAACTTGCCACAAAAAGTAAGGCAGCGATCGCCGTCAAAATCTTAGCGCTCATGAAGATACTTATCGCGAGAAGTATAGAACTGCAGCCCATACCGCAGATGCTCAGCATCAGGCACAATTTTCGGCCAATGCGATCGGGCAGGGGAGAGCACGCCAGCGTGATCACGAGATTAACCGCAGATATAATTACTGTGAGTAACGCAGCCGTCGTTGGTAGGATGCTTTGTAGTAAGGACACGCTGTACATAACAATGCTGTTCATCCCGGTGAGTTGCTGGGCGACCATCACGCCAACCACAGCAATAATAGCCGGGCGGTAATAGGGATCTTTGACAACCTGCATGAACGTGACTGCAGCCTTCCTAGACGGCCTGTCGCCGGAAGAGTTAGAGAGCAAGGACTCTTCCTCGCCAGATGCAGGGGCATCCGAGGTGCTCCAACTCGCAATCTCCGCTTCAATGTCGGCATCTCGACCGCGGATCCGCTGCAGGACGCGGCGGGCCTGACTAATCTTCTGGTGTTCTGCGAGCCACGAAGGACTTTCTGGTACCAAGAACAATCCCAAGAGCTCCAGAGCCCCGATGATTCCGGCCACAGCCAGTATGAGTCTCCAGAGGCTTGCTTCGCTCCAGAAGTATCCCAGGGATTGTGTCAACAAAATGCCGACATTGGTCATGACCTGGGTGAAGGCACCGAAGAGGCCTCGAGCACTGGGAGGAGCAATTTCCGAAATGTAGATAGGACCGACCACAATTGCAGCACCAGAGCCAATTCCAGAGAGGAATCTACCAAGACTCAAGAGGGAAATTGCTGGTGCAAGTGTCTCCGCCACAGGCCCCAGAATAAAGAATATCGTGGTGACTCGTAATGCAAGTAGACGTCCATATTTGGTTGCGATGGGTCCTGCCAGCAGGGCTCCAAGTAAGCCACCGAGCGTGTAGATCGAAGAGACGAGGCCAAATTGCGATGGGGTCATAGGAAAGCATTGTGGAAGACTCGTGATTCCCGAAGAATGAATTCCTTGACGTTCGCATGTTATCACAGATTTAGGGGCATTGAGCTCTGCCTAAGTAATGAACGTATTAGTGATGTTCAGTAGACATAGAGGGGGTGCTATCGTACCAGGTGGAAGCCAAATTGAAGCGGACCAAGCGTGACAATAAATACGAGATAGATCAAGTACGGTGTAACCCTCGACTGTGTTGATGTGCCCAAAACCATTGTGAGATAAATTTAGGCCAATCGACGCCCTGGGACAGGTTGAAGGTACGTTAAGGAGGACCGGAGCCTAGGATGACGTTTTTTGCTGATTGTAGAGATACGATGATCTGAGGTCAAGTTGGTCAGATGAGAAGGTCTGCCTAGGTAGGCAAATGTAACATTAAATTTGGCACATAGAGTCCTTCACAATTCAGGGACTTGAACTAGTTGACTTGAACATGTGAAGCTCAAGAAGTTGAAGCTGGATGGATCCGACATGTGATCTGACTAAGCGTTGACTCCGCTGAACTCATCGCATTGTACAACATACGGAGTACAATTCAGACGATACAGGCAATACATTAGAATATCTCTCCAATCCTTCGAATCCTTCTTTGTATTCAAACTGGAAATCGCGGAGAAGATATCTCCCCGCCAATGGAGTGACAACATCGCCGGCCCTTCTGATCCACAAATGAGTCTGACAAACCCGCCCTCTTCCTCTGGCTCTCTCTCGCGAACCAGAGTCGGTAACTTGAAACGGAGTCACCAGGCTACTGTCGATGGTAATTATATATCTTCTTTGAATCTGATTACTCGTGGCTTCTTGGTGTAACGGCTTGTCTCTTTCTATCTTTCCATCATGTTTGGAAAGGGTTTCCCTTTCTTGAATTCTGGAGGATTCTATTCTCGTGGTAACTCTTTCCCTTTGATTCTCTGTGATGATATTGTCTTTGTGATGCGAGCGTGCAAATTGGAAGGGATTCTCGCCTGGCATTCCATTCTCAATCCGGCAATCGGAATATGCTAACTAGGAGTTTATACAGATGCCATTGAATCAAGAAGACCCGGTGGGTATACCAGCAAAGTCCGGGTCCGAGATCGGTATAACATAGTAGGCTTCATCAGCAGTGGCACCTATGGCCGGGTGTACAAGGCCGTTGGGAAAAATGGCAAGAAAGGGGAGTTTGCAATCAAGAAGTAAAAACCCTCCAACATTTGATTTTTTCTTCATTCTAACCTCATCCAGATTCAAGCCCGACAAGGAAGGCGAAACGATCCAGTACACAGGTCTGTCGCAGTCGGCTATCCGTGAAATGGCATTGTGCACTGAACTCTCACATGCCAATGTTGTCCAACTAGAAGAGATCATTCTGGAGGACAAATGCATCTTCATGGTATTTGAATATACAGAGCATGATTTGCTCCAGATCATTCATCATCACACCCAGCCTCAGCGACATGCCATTCCGGCGACTATGGTCCGGTCTATCATGTTCCAGTTGTTGAATGGACTGCTCTATCTTCACACCAACTGGGTCCTACATCGTGATTTGAAACCAGCCAATATCCTCGTCACCTCAAGTGGCGCTATTCGCATCGGCGACTTGGGGCTAGCACGCCTGTTCTATAAGCCACTCAACTCCCTGTTCTCGGGAGACAAGGTCGTCGTCACAATCTGGTACCGTGCACCCGAGCTGCTCATGGGGAGCCGGCACTATACTCCTGCCGTCGATATGTGGGCAATAGGATGTATCTTCGCCGAACTACTCTCGCTGCGACCAATCTTCAAAGGCGAAGAAGCCAAAATGGACAGCAAGAAAACAGTCCCTTTCCAACGTAACCAGATGATGAAGATTGTCGAGATCCTTGGTCTTCCCCGCAAAGAGTCCTGGCCAGGTCTAGCCTCCATGCCTGAATATTCCCAACTCCAGACCCTAGTGCTCCACCGCCAACCTTCACATTTCCATCGCGGCTCCAATCTTGAAGGCTGGTATCAGAGCTGTTTGAAAAACGGTGGATACACGTCCACCTCCAGTGCTGGCACTCCTGGTGCCGATGGATTCGATCTTCTGTCGCGTATGCTTGAATATGACCCAGCGAAGCGACTCACTGCCGAGCAAGCGCTTGAGCACCCATACTTTACCAATGGTGGCCCTATCAGTGGTAACTGCTTCGAGGGTATCGAGGGCAAATACCCACACCGTCGGGTCACCCAAGATGACAATGATATTCGCACCGGTAGTCTTCCTGGCACCAAACGGAGTGGACTCCCAGATGAAGCATTGATGAGGGCTTCCAAGCGCCTCAAGGAGTAATCTTTTCATTCTTGCTGCATATCTGTGTTGATCATATTTTGCGGTGCGTGGACAGGCTGGCCATGATATCCACCCACATCATATATTTAATTCGGTATTGGCGTTATAACTCGGGGGTTGCATCATGGCCATTTAGCCCGGAGGCTATGAGACCACTGTATTTTGTACCATGAAGGTGGGTTGATTCCCAATTGAAGGAGTCATTCGAGTTCTGCTAGATAGTAATCATTTCAATTGCATACGATGCGCCGTTCGTACTCATACCTCCCACCATTGCCCAATTTCCCAATCCCATATTCGCTAAATATCGTACATGTTGACCCACCCCCGAAGACCCCCATATAGCATCCGATGATGATAACGCCGAAAGAATAAAAAGATTGCGAGAAAAAAAGATAATCAGTACCTTGCGACCAAAGCGAAGAGTCAGTTTCGGAAAATCAGACAAGAAATTGACAGTCAGTCATATGCCATGCTGTTCGTGTCACTTGTCTCCGTGGGTATCATCCTTGCCGTCACCATCGGCAGTAGAAGCGTGATGAGCGGCATCTTTGATACCCTGCTCATCACCACGTAGCGCCTCGAAGTATCCCTTGATATCTTCCGCGCTGACAGCCTGTCCACTCTCGGCGAAGGGTTGCAGAAAGACCTTGAGTTTGTCACGCAGATGGTTGTATGCCATTGCGCCTTCGATGGCGCGCACTCGATCCATGTTGTTCAGTGCTGCTTCGCCGCGATCGTAGATACTGCCAGTACCGACACTCGCGGTACCATCAGCCAGGCCGTCGTCGGACATAGGAGGCTCATAGGTATCTTCTTCTTCGCGAAGCTGGGGGTAGGGAATAAGTTTAGGGAAGCACTCTGCACAGCGACACAGCTGACCATGGAAATCATCCAAGGCAAAAAGAGAGAATGATTCCATTGGAGTGGACTTCGGGAGCTCGGTGTGCTTGGGGGCGGATGGCTTTGTAGGATTATCGTTTTCCTCCTTGGTAGGCTCCTCTTCCTTTGTGACATTCGATGGTTGTTCCTCGACGTGAGCTTCTTCCTCTTTAATCCGCTTGGTGATAGGCTCTCCTTCGGTCGGACCCTCGTCGTCTGCCTTGCGCTTGTTTGAGTGTTCGATCTTCTCCTGATCCTTAGGTTCGGTCTCCTTGCGTTCAGTCTCCTTGAGCTCAGTGGCGGGTACGGAGGGGTTTCGCTCAGTCAAATTTAGCTCAGCCGCATTTGAGGCCTTTTTTAGTCCACCTTTTCGGAAAACTGGCGGCAAGAACCCAGGAGTGCCCGCATATGGTTTGATCCAGGGGTTAGAGTCGACACATTTGAAGCAAATCAGATGGTCGAAATCATCCTCTGCGGGAAAGCCAGGTGGGGGCAGATCTTCTTCGTCCTCGGCTGAAGTGTCATTGGTGGCATCACCACCGCCGAGTCCGTTGGCCTTGAGGGCAGCCTTGTTCCAACCACGCGACAAGCCGATCAGACACTCCGGGTGCCACCAGTCCTCGCCACAGCCTCCAGTCTCGACGGTGCCAAGTCCCAGGCACTGGTACATTGTCCCCTTTTCTGAATCCGCATCGTACTGTTCGCCGCAGCCACAGAACTGATTGCGAAAGTTATGGTTATATTTGTTGCCTGCTGCGGCCTCTTGGGAATGCACGCCCTTTTTGCCAGTTGTGGGATCTTCACGGAGCGTGCAACAAGAAGATGATTGTAAACGGGTGGTTCCACAGTCGCAGACGAAGTTGCGCTTGTTGAAGAGCTCGACTAGGGTATGCTCGCCGTGACAAGCGATCGAGCACGAGTAACAGACGGCAGCGGCAGTGTAGGGTTCGTTGGGGCTGACAGGAGGAGGATTGCAGGTGAGACATGCAAAGAGTACCTGTCGTAATGGTCCGAGGTCATATGTGCAAGAGTCAAAGGCCTAAAGTCAATAAGTCAGCTGTGGAACAAGTCAAACGCCGCACCACCTGCTTTCTTGAGAGACTGACATAAGGGAGAGCCTCGCGCGCATCTGCCTCTAGTTGGAGCTGGGATTCAATAAACCTAAAATCAATTAGTATATCACTTTCCTAATGTGGAGGAGAGTATTGGGGAGACATACTCTTTCGCGGTCTGGGAATTCTGGGAGCCCATGCTCTCACTACGAGCATCTTCGGTGAGTTGAGCGACAACCGAGTGCGGGGCGTCCATTGTTGGGAATTGTATCAGCGTCCTTATCGTAGAAATCGGCAAATAACGAAAGGCCTAAGTCCTAAGTGTCGAGGCGATATGTTGGATCACGACGCGACGTGATGGGTCGCGACGCAACTTAAAGTTTCTGCCGGCATTTTCCAACAAGAGCAGGGCGTTACCGCCTTACACCGCCCGCGATGCTTATGTTTCCTCTAAAGTGGAATAAGCACGCTAGACTAGACAGACATACAGGTGCCGGTTTTAGCTGAGAATTTGTATACCGCCTTTGTATCAAACTGCATATGATAGTAGTCAAGACAGCAGGTACCTGTGATGTGCCAGATCTTTCAAAGGAAGCAGAGTGCATTCTATTCAAAATAACCAAGATGAGGAGAGAAAGAAGAGGCAAGTTGCACTACTCTTCTCATTGTCTCTCAGCGCAGAAATCTTACCTTGCTTTCGCTTTCTCGTCAAAGGGAGCCCGGAGCCCTAGAGAGTAAGGTTGATTAACACTCATTTCTGCGGATAACAAATCGAGCCTCTTATTATCATTGTTCTCAATCTTGAAACGCCACACACGCAGCCAAAATGTCCATTGCAGCTCTCCCCGTGGAATTAATCTCAAAGATATGTAACCAGTTGGATTTCCAGCAATTGGTCGCTCTGAGATTATCATGCCACGCTTTGTACAAAAATTCACTGGAGAATTTCGCAGAGACCTTTTACCGAAAAATCCGTTTCATTGTGACAAGCGAAAGTCTCTATGAACTAGAAGAACTATCTAAGTTAAATGGTCTCCGCGAGCACGTCTAAGAGCTATGGATGATACTAACTGTATTCAATGGTACTGAAAAGCCCCTCGGCATGGTATCTATATTATCGAAAAGCTGCCGATAAGTCAATGGCGATGAGCTAGAAAGTTAGTATACTATCATTAAAGCCATGCTTGCGGATAATTCTAATCTACTGGAATCAGAAGCGTTCAGTATTTAACTTCGGGAATATATGGATCGATTTTAGAACCTCCAAACAATAGGACTTGCATATTACAGAACGGAACTTTTGCTTAATCTACGGCAGCAGACAGTTCCATTCCTAGGAAGGCAAGAGATAATAAGCCGGATTAATTTTCGATTCGATGTTTACAGCCTGCGAGCGTTTACCTATACCGGTCAGCATAGCTAGATAAGAAAACTGAACTCCTTGGTATTATCGAAGCTTATTCTTACGTTATATAGCTCAAGCTGCAGACCCCGAAAGCTGTATACCTGCGATTCCGATTTCTGTGGTAATATCGACCCTAGAATTGCCCTCTCCGAAGAACAATTTAACTCTCTACTCTCTACTTTGAAAGGCCTAGAGGATCTTCACTTATATATTGATCTCAATTAGGCGGCTTGGCTGAAATTTTTCACGAAGCTTGCACCTCAACTGGAAGGACTGGTTTTGTCGCAAGATCATATGCCTGCCTATCAGGCAAAAAGCTACATTGGAAACATGTCAGGGAAAATTTACTTTGCATTTATCTCAATAGCTTTGCAATAATTGTGCTTGCTTGTTAGATTGGATAGGCACAGAGACGGGTGGAGCGGAGGGGCGGTGGAACAGGCGGGATATCCCGCCCTGGGTATCCCGCAAATCTCACTTTGCCCTTGATTGGTCAGCCATGGAGCAAGCCATAAGTCACTTACAAGACGAGAACCTTTGTACAGGATGTCTTGAATGAACATGGGCCTTCATGACATCTTGAGGAAGGCCCGGTCCCAGGAATGCTTGAGTCTGAGACATATACTAGACCAGTTATCAGACCGGTGGGAGGGGAATCTAGTATACTAGTATGCAGATCTTGACTTAAATCCTATACACATTACAGGGGACTCCGTAACTCCATGCGTATTGGATTTGTCAGGATATTCCATCTGTACTTGGTTTATAATGCTATCACTCACCTTGACACATAGCTCTACCCCAATCTTCCTATAGAAAACTAAGACTATATCTTCTTTAACCCCTTCAAATTTGCCCTATCTAAAGATAAGAGTGCAGATATATTGAATTCTAAACCCGCTAGCTGATGGTGACATACAAAGACAGGGATCATCCATGGATTTCTAATCCATCCAGTTTTTGTGCTCTGAGATCTCCACCCTTTTTTTTCCCCATGCATCTATATCATTTGGGTTAATCTGCTCTTCTTGAGGGTGCTTTTTTCTTCTAAGAGCGAAATATGACAGCCTACGAGTCTTCCGGAGCAATTGCGAGCGGGGAAGAGAAAGGGAACAATACCCAGACAGCTGATGCGCCCGTGAGAGATACGTCAAATGCACCACTGCCATCACCTCCAGACGGCGGATTTCATGCCTGGGCTCAGGTCGTTGCGGGACACTTGGTCGTAGCCCTGACTTGGGGCTACGCATCCAGCTTCGGGGTGTTCCAAAACTATTATGAGTCTACGCTACCACAAGCCCCCTCCGATATTTCGTGGATCGGTGGATTCCAAGTCTTCTGTCTTTTGTTCATCTCAACGCTCTCCGGCCGCGCAACAGATGCTGGATTGGCAAGGCCGGTGGTAGCCCTAGGTGGGCTGTTGTTGGTTATCGGGACCTTTATGACGAGTCTGGCCACAGATTACTGGCAGATCTTTCTGGCTCAGGGACTTTGTATTGGCATCGGCCAGGGTCTCATGTGGCTGCCTACTGTGACATTGATCTCGACATACTTTGTACACTATCGAGTCTTTGCCGTCACAGCTGCTGCCACGGGAACGAGTACGGGGGGCATGATTTTCCCCGCAATGATCCAGTATCTTACCCCGAGGATCGGTAAGTCTATTTCAGCCGCACTGATTTTCATAGCTAATCGGATAAATAAATAATCAGGGTTTCCATGGGCTGTCAGGTGCAATGGGAGTCGTTGTCCTCGTCATGGTCATAATCACCTTGACACTTTTGCGTCCTCGGCTACCACCACGCAAAGCGGGACCACTGATTGAATGGAGCGCTTTCAAGGAACCGGCCTACATGCTTTTTACCATGGGGGTATTCCTTCTATACTGGACCCTTTATTTTGCCTTTTTCTACGTACGCTGCCAAATCCAATATCATAATTCATTGGGCTGACCGTTTTCTAGGTGCAAGTCTATGCGACTGAAAAGCTCGGGTTGTCCCAAGAAGCCGGAGTGAATTTAATTATCGTCACCAACGCCCTTGGAATACCCATTCGCGCCCCTTGTGGCTATCTAGCCGATCGTTATATCGGCCCGCTCAATTTACTGATTCCTTGGGTAGCGCTGTGCGGCATTCTGATGTTCTGCTGGGCCGCCGTTCATACTGTGGCCGAGCTATATATCTTTGCTGTGTTTTATGGACCGGCATCGGCGGCCGCTATGGGCTTGTTCGCTGGCACTATTCCTTCATTGACCAAAGACCTGGACAAGATCGGCACTCGAGTTGGCATGTCGCTCTCCATGATAAGCTTCGGACCCTTGACCGGCCCATCCGTGGCGGGGGCGTTGATCGCGCGCACGGGAGGTGGCTATCTGGCTGGGCAAATATGGGCAGGATCAGCCTTACTCGTAGGAGTATTGGCTCTTGGGGGAGCACAGGTCATAATATCCGGGCCACATCTCCGAGCAAAACTATGAGCTTTATATAACATTAGAAAAAGGAAAGACATTTAGAAATGAGATCAAGAAAGACATGAAAAAGCAAATGGAGAAAAGCCATCAGAAAGGATATTAGAAAGGACTAGGACTAACACCAAGCTGAATCCCATTAATACCTAGAGGGTAAGTCGGGTCCTTCCTGTTATGTAAGGCGTCTTGCTCCCTGGTAATCACCAGTACCTGACCTAGCCCAGTCTGTTCTGTACTTATCTCAAGTTATCCTCACTTCGCCTGGCCCAAGTTTTTCTTCCTTTATCTCTCCCAGGTTCTACTCTAAGCAAGACATACTACCTTCGTCATGACAGAATCGAATGAGTCGTCGGGGAATCGTTTCGACCGCCTCGATGCCACAGCCAAGGTGGTTACTTCTGCCCTTACTCACAACAACTGTCGTCATGGATTCATCGGTGGATACGCAGTATCTCTTGTTGGCGGCTTGAGAATTACCGATGTACGCCTTCTCAATATCTTTTCTACCCTTGACACAAGTCCTCGGCTAATTTGAACTAGGATGTTGATCTTCTCGTCGATGCAGACCCTGCAAATATCCGAGAACTGCTACTCCAAGTGTCCGGATTCCAGTTGACCCGTGCCAATAACCTGGTTTTCATGCGCGGTAAAGACGTGGTCAAAGTTGAGATTCTTCGTGGAGGCAATACTCGACAGATGAAGCTTCCTGATGCCAATACCGTTCCTCTTCACTATTCTTCATTGAGAAACGTGCATGACAGCGATACCGGAAGTAAGTTTCCTTTTACCTCTGCACGTCATATTATATAGACTTTGATGAGCATTCTCTAACCATTTGACTACAGTCCCCATCGTACACCCGTCTGTCCTCGTGCTCACGAAGCTGAAGAGGTGGGCTCCCATCGCTGAATCCACTCGTCCGAAAAGTGTCATAAAGGCTCGTGGTGACTTCGAGGACATTACGGCAATCCTGGACTGGCTTGTTGGAAACAATCTTCGTATTGATTTTACAGCCTACCCAGAAAAACCAAAGGAGGAGCTACTGCCATATTTTCGGAAGTTGTATGAAATACATTCCGAATCTCGCTCCCTGCTCCAGGCCACGATGAAGGCGCCTCATCCGCAACTAGATAGCTGGGAAATAGTACGACAGTCGCGGACGACACATTCAGCAATAGTTAGATACTTCTCCGCCATTGAGCCCCAATCCCACGATTTCATACCCTGAACTGCTTCTTCCACCCTTCTCTGGAAATCTTCTTCGCTCTCTTCATCTTCTATGCCATTCTTGGTATTCAAGGGTGTCTCGTGCAAAAGATAAGAGGATATAAAACCCAGAAGGTCATCGTGCACATGATATCTGCTGCTATCACCAATAGGGCGGTTGAGAAGATGTCGTATTAGTGACAGCATGTAAATCCGAGGCTTAGGTGTCAAGATCTTCAGCGTGTGGTCAAAAGTAGATGTGACTTCGACGGTGTCTTGGAGGGTCAGGTTGAAAAGCGACAATGGGTACAGAAATATTTGGTGCGAACGAGCTGGATCTAGACTGTGAATAAAGCCTGCTCGTTCCCATTGTCCATATATCGCAGTAACCTCTGCAGCTGGAGGAACACAAGGAATGCCATGGTCTGATAGAGTCTGGGATGCGAGCGATAGCAGCGCATCGGGCACCGCCCATTCAACAAGCTAGGATTAGGAAGTCAGTAGAGTCCCACGATAATTACTGGATAGGATATTTCATCTTTTACTCTAAGAACCAAAGGGTATCCACATCTGAACCGTATCTGCGACCCCCACTCCACAAGAGGAATGTTTTTATCAACTAGAGCTCTTGCAGCTTTCTCCGTAATACCTGCATGGATTTGTTGCGACGGTGTTTTTTCCTGGGGAAGTGGGTCCATGTTTTGATCAAGAACTTGTTGCGGAGGGAAGCGAAGCAATTGAAATCATAACCTCGTGTGCATGTCACGTGAACTTTCTTTTCTCCTATGGGCTCCATTAGTTTCAATACGGTGAAGAAGTAATCGGCTAACTTTAGCAGAATAATCCAACCGGCAGAATAAATATAGACTAGGCCTAATCTGGCTAGACGATAATTTCTATTACGTGCTATAGGCTAGTCACTAAAGCAGTTACTAGAGCAGTTGCTCAAGCGGTCATTAAGGGATTGCTTAGTTAAGTGGTTAGTTAACTAGTTAGTTAGTTAGTTCCAAGGTTAGTTACTTAGTTAGTTAACTAAACAGTTACTTAAGCGGTTGCTTAAGCAGTTTCTCAAGCAGTTTCTCAAACGGTTGCTAAAGTAATTGACGATAAAGCAGTTGATTAAGCAGTTAATAATGATATGATAAAGGGACTTAATTTCATTAGTAGTTTACATATAAATTGTAAGTATCTGCTGTCTTACTACTACCATAGCGGGAAATATGCCTGATTGTGAAGGCGGTACTGAAATTACAGGCATGGGGGAGAATAAGCCAGTAAGAGGGGGGCTTTGCGTAGCATTAGAAGTTGGAATAAGTCGCTTCGCTCTGCAACGACTATCTAGAGGCATTAGGCCGTCGAGATCCCTAGTAAATCAGAAGGTCGTATGTACGTGTCACGTGGCCAATTTTTCTCCTATGGGGCTGAATTATGACAAAAGCAGGAATTGAATCTAGCCGAGGGGTCGCTGTGAAGCCAATAAGCCAGTAAGAGGTAGCATTAGAAGTTAGAATCAGTCGCTTTGCTCTGCAACAACTATCTCGACGGCCTACGGGCCGGCGAGATCACTCGTATGGTATAAATCGATGTATAAACTGGATGAAGGGCAGACCACATTCGTTTGCATACTAGAAACTTGGAAGGTTTGTGTGCGGTTGAATGCTCAAAGGGTAGGCGCCCGTCTGGAATCGAAAGGAACTAGTTATGGAACGAATCACACTTGTGACACAATGTTCACCCCAACGACCGACTGGCCAAGTGGTTAAGGCGTCTGTCTTACATTTCATATGTTGGAGTTCACAGAAGGTCGCAGGTTCGATCCCTGCGTCGGTCATTAAATTTTTGCAATTTCCAATTTTATGATTTCTCTCTTTATTTTTCTTTCTTTCCTTCTCTCTTTCTTTTGTTCTTATTAGTTATAGCGCTGTAAATTATGCCGTTGTGCAAATAGGGAACGTGGAAGGCCCACCTTCCTAATCGGGGCTTAATTGAAACGCGTCGCGTGTTGGACGCGACTCTCTGCACAACTCGACTTTGCCGCCCCTTCTCCCTCCCTTCATTCTATCAACCACGCTATCACATACTCGAGTGAAAAAAAACCTCCGAAACATACATATACTTATCCGTACTCATAATTTCCTGCCTTTCCTCTTTTTTCTTTGAATTTTGCCAGTTGAAATAACCACACAATGGAGTGAGTGTGCCTCCTGAATTTTCTGCGCCCAAAAGCTAATGCACTACAGTCCGCTCCGAGCCAGCGATTCGGCCGCCAACCGTGGCCGAGGGGCCAACACTCGTAAGAGAGACAGAGAGGATGACATGTCCTCCCCGGCGCCATTGCCTCCTTCCAGTCGTATGTGTGCTTCTTTGTCCGGGCTGCGTCAATTTGAGACTGACAATGTTCATGTGCAGCCACTGCTTTGGGCTCATCCCCTCCCCCGATCCCCTTTGACATGGGAGATGAAGATGAGGATGAGGATAGAGGTCTGGTGCCAGATATTGATGACATTGACGAATTGGCTGAAGACGAGGACGGCATTGACCTGTTCGGTGACAACTTCGAGCGGGATTATCGAGATGCAGCGCAAGATCGCTATGAAAACGACGGATACATCGACGATGATGAAGACCATGATGAAATCGATGCCGCAACTCGTCGGCAGCTAGATGCCCGCCTAAACCAGAGAGACCGAGAACTGGCACGTCGGCGCCGCATGCCTGCCGCCTTTTTACAAGATGAGGACGATATGGAAATGGACCTGTCGCGCCAACCCCGACGACGCAGACACCATTATGATGAGGATCGTGAAGATATTGACATGGCTGATGAGGGCATGGAAGAGCTGTCATTGGAGGAACTGGCAGATGTGAAGGCAGCCAACATTACAGACTGGGTGACACAGCCCCAAGTCCTTCGCTCCATCTATCGTGAATTCAAGGCCTTCCTGACAGAGTTCATCGACGCCGCCGGCCAGTCTGTTTACGGTAACCGAATCAAGACACTGGGTGAGGTGAACTCCGCTTCACTCGAAGTGTCGTACGCCCACCTCAGCGAGACCAAGGCAGCTTTGTCATACTTCCTCGCCAACGAACCCACCGAAGTCTTGAAGGTATTTGATCAGGTTGCACTCGACGTTACGCTATTCCACTACCCACAATATCACGATATTCACAACGAAATCCACGTCCGCATCACTGATGTGCCGATCATTTACACCCTACGCCAGCTGCGCCAGTCGCATCTCAACTGCCTGATCCGTGTCAGTGGTGTTGTTACCCGTCGAACTGGTGTCTTCCCGCAATTGAAGTACGTCATGTTCCTCTGCAAGAAGTGCGGTATCACCTTGGGTCCGTTCCAGCAGGAAGCCAGTGCGGAGGTGAAGATCTCGTTCTGTCAGAACTGCCAGTCGCGTGGTCCGTTCACTGTCAATTCTGAAAAGACAGTCTACCGCAACTACCAGAAGTTGACCTTGCAGGAGTCGCCCGGCTCGGTTCCCGCAGGTCGTCTGCCGCGGCAGCGTGAGGTCGTTTTGCTTGCCGATCTAATCGACAGCGCCAAACCCGGTGATGAGATTGAGATTACCGGCGTCTACCGTAACAGCTACGATGCCCAACTGAATAACAAAAACGGCTTCCCGGTTTTCGCCACCGTAATTGAGGCCAACCATGTGGTCAAGGCACACGACCAGCTGGCTGGTTTCAATCTGACAGAAGAGGATGAGCGCGCAATCCGAGCCCTCTCCCGTGACCCCGATATTGTGGACAAGATTATTCGCTCTATGGCGCCCAGTATTTACGGCCACCAGGATGTCAAGACTGCTGTTGCACTTTCGCTCTTTGGTGGTGTTAGTAAAGAGGCCCAGGGCAAGATGCACATTCGTGGTGATATCAACGTTCTTCTTCTGGGTGACCCTGGTACCGCAAAGTCTCAGGTGCTCAAGTTCGTCGAGAAGACCGCCCACCGTGCCGTGTTTGCCACTGGTCAGGGTGCTAGTGCCGTTGGTCTCACGGCCAGTGTTCGCCGCGATCCTCTCACGAGCGAATGGACGTTGGAAGGTGGTGCGCTGGTGTTGGCTGATCGTGGTACTTGTCTTATCGATGAGTTTGACAAAATGAACGACCAGGATCGGACATCTATTCACGAAGCTATGGAACAGCAAACCATCTCTATCTCCAAGGCCGGTATTGTGACAACATTGCAGGCTCGCTGTGCTGTTGTGTCCGCGGCTAACCCCAAGGGTGGTCGGTACAACAGCTCGATCCCATTCTCCGAGAATGTCGACTTGACAGACCCTATCCTGTCTCGTTTCGATATTCTCTGTGTGGTGCGTGATTTGGTTGACCCTGCCGAGGATGAGCGCTTGGCGAACTTCGTGATTGAGTCGCACCACCGTTCCAACCCGGCTCGTCCCCTCCGGAACGAAAAGGGCGAGTTAGTTGATACCGACGGCAATCTTATTGACAACGAGGGTTACCGCATCAACCGAGATGGTCAGAGACTGCCTCCATCACAGGAGGAGATCGCCAAACGCGCAGCAGAGAAGCAAAGAGACGAAGAGGAGAAAGAGGGCGAGATCCCGCAGGAGCTCCTGCGGAAGTATATTATGTATGCCCGAGAGCGTTGCCACCCCAAGCTTTATCAGATCGACCAGGACAAGGTTGCCCGTCTCTTCGCAGACATGCGCCGCGAGTCCCTTGCCACCGGAGCGTACCCTATTACAGTAAGTCATCTTCCTGCCTTATGTACAGTGACAATTTTCTTACTCTAATCTTCTAGGTCCGTCACCTTGAAGCGATCATGCGTATCGCAGAATCTTTCTGCAAGATGCGCCTATCAGAGTACTGCTCCTCGCTGGATATTGACCGTGCGATCGCTGTTACTGTGGATTCGTTCATCGGCAGTCAAAAGGTCAGCTGCAAGAAGGCACTCTCTCGTGCATTTGCCAAGTATGTTTCTTTCGATCTTTGAATCTATTGGAATCTTGTACTAATATCTACTCTCAGATATACACTCTCCAGACCCAAGCCCCAGTCCAAGCGCCGTGCGGGCATCCCCGTCTCCAACCCTCACCTGCCGCGGGCTCAATCCATCGCCCAGTGAACGGCCTTCTAGAAGGTGGATTGGGGGCTTCCCCAGTTGCATGGTTTCTTTTGTGTTTTATACCATCTTGTTTGCATCTTATGTGTGGCGTTTATGAAAGGGGACCCTTCCTCGAATTGGGCCATGACACGGTAATGAATAGAAAATCAATGAATGATATTTCGAGTTTATATTTTGAGGTGGTAGCAGGCTGCGTACACCCAGAGCTTACTCTACTTTATTGTGGATGAATGAACCGTAGCGCATTGTACGGAAATAGGACTGCTATGACACATAGCAGTAAATACAACATGGTATTCCGATAACACAGGCAGGTTCAGATCTGACGTGGCCACATCCACCTTGAGATATCGCATTAAGGCGGCTAGGGTTGACTGATTCACTATTCAATCCGAACAAAACAGGTAGCTTCTACCTAATTCGTCTGCGTATGCAAGTCCAATGATATCTTAATTCAAGTTATGACCTCATCTTAGATCGCATTCCAAGCCGAGGAATGTTCGATATCTATGGAGTACCGAGTCCCGAATACTTCTCCGCATACTAGATGTCGGCTAAACTGTCTGGAGAGGCTGGCATTATATTCGAAATGCAAGGTGTTATATGCAGATACAGCGAACTATCGTTTGAATCGGTCATATTCAGCCACCGCTCATTGGCCATAACTGATATCCCAACCTTTTTAGTGGTATCCACGGGGACTGGAACTGAAGTTGCGTCCTTCTCCCTCGGCAGATGAGCTCATCACTTTGGATCTTTCTAGACTGCACGAGATCTAGAGATGCGGAAAATAACAGAAGATATCATGTTGCATACACATTCCAGGAACAGAAGATGATATCAAGGTGGAATGGCAACGTCATTCCCCGGGGTGGGCTATTTTTGGTAGCCGAGGAATCTCCATCCCTTTATGTACAATGTACAAAGTACGTGCCTGATTAGCTGGGATGTCCCCAGATGTCCAGTCGAAGTCAATGTACAGAGTACATAGCAGTCAGTTCCTGAACTGTCACAACATGTCAAACTGGAACCTTGGCGATGATTTGGTATTAGCCCCTACGGCTATAACGCCAGTCTGGGGATTCGGCAGAGCGAGAAAAAGTTAACACAAGCCCGAACGGCATAGCATAAAAACATGAACACATATAATGTAAAGAAAGAAATAGAAAGATCGACAGGGCCAAGTGAAAGAGGATGATTTCCCCAAGGAGACGATCACTGGGCAATTTACGTATGCTCGCCTCTCCCGTGTTCCCTAATCCCCTTGGCCCCCTCCTTTCTCCCTTAGACTTCTTTTTCTTTCTTTCACTTTGATTCTGTTATACCCTCTCGCTTATTGAATATTGAACTTGACCTGTGGTAGTCCATACTATCTTACCCCTGATTATCACTGTTTCAGCACTACCTCCTGCCACTTTCTTCCGCATTCGTGCGACACCTAACGCGGCATCTCATTGCACGCAAACGGCCTCTCCACCCACACCTTGTTTCAGAGGCGAAATATCCTTCACAATGAATGCCACTCCAGCGTTTGGATATGCGCCTGGCGTGTCGCTGGCCCCGCAGGGTACGTAACCAGAAGCTTGACTCCCCTAAATCATAGGATTTCAGACGTTACCGCTGCGAGTAGTTTGAACCCCCCTCCCCTGATCCATAAATGACACCTTCCCTTGACTTTCTGGTCTTCTATCTTTTTCAGACCTGTGACTGATTCAAAACGTCTCTGCGACCAACAGAATACCAAGATTCTCCAACAGCGGCCAGTTTTGGCTCCAATAACCCCTTCCGGAACCGCGCTCTTTCGCCTGGGTCCATTTCATCGATCAACCGTCCGGAACGCCCACGCTCTACAAACCCATTCTTAGACGACGCTGAGGGTATACCTCTGCAGCCAACCCCTGGCGTGTCGACTGGTGCCAATATGTTCTCTCCAATTGAGAAGAATGATATGTCGTCCAACACTCGGGAGCTCTTTGTATGTTTCGGAATCTTGAACCTACATACTCAAATCTGGTCTAACCTCTTAATAGGAATCCCTCTCTCTCAAGCCTGCTCCCCAGATAAATCTTCCTCGGCCTGCGGCGTCTGACGCCACCCAACGCACTCCCTCGAATCGCACCAAACCCTCAAGGGAGCGCCCGGAGCGTCCAGCAGGACGACCGGCGGTGTCAAAACAGAAAGATCTGCTCGACATATTCGCCGACCCCCCTGCTTTGTCCCAAACCTCCAAGGACAAGGCGCCCCGTCGTGTTCGGCGGAACTCGGAGTCTTCGGTGATGGATCGAGGTTCGCTATTGGACCTTGATGACGACGACGACAAGCGCCGACGTGAACGGCGTCGCGAGCGTGAGAGTCGCAGCAAAGATGGCAAATCGCGCTCGGGCCGCAAGGATCGACGACTTGATATCATTGATAAGTTGGATGTGACGAGTATCTACGGTACCGGAAGTAAGTATCACGGTTTTTTTTTTTTTTTTTTTTCAGTATACGGCTCATGCTAACTGCAATAATAGTGTTCCACCACGATGGTCCGTTTGATGCCTGCAACCCTCATCGCAATCGCCGCGGCGTGCGTACCGCGCCAATGCAAGCTTTCCCCAAGGGTTCCAGCAACATGGCTCTGGGCGGCGCAGGGCCCAACAACTCTAACATCGATCTTGACCTTTTCCATGGCAGGATGGAGGAAGGACACACTGACTTCTCGACCGCTGCGAGCCGCAACGCTGAGACGGCCGTCATGGATCCCACTGCCCGAGTAGACCCGATTCATGGGCCGCAGAGTATGGGACTGGGAACCAGCACCTTCCTCGATGGAGCTCCGGCTAGTCGGTCTGCCATTTCACGCCATCAGACTGAGAATGAAAACGGTATGGGACCGAATGGTGGCCTTGCACGGAAGAAGAGTTTGGCTCAGCGACTACGTGGACGAGGTGCTCCTGGTCGCATTGCTTATCCAAACGACAACTACCCCCCTGCGCCACAGGTGAGCTCCAGCCATTCTGGAACCTCCCGGGGTTATGAAAGAAACCCCTACTTCCAAGAAGACGAATATGAGGAAGAGTGGGACAAGAAGGGATCGAGTATCGAAGCTCGCCTCGAGGGCGGCCGAGTTCGATCGTCCAGCAGTCCTAAGCAAATGGAGCACAAGATCATCAGCGAGCGACCTTACGAAGAGTCGAGGCTTAACACTGGTGGTGGTGGTGGGTTCTTGAACCGGATGAAGAGTCTGCGCAAACCCAAGCCGGAAAGACGGACTAGCGACTAGGTCACCTAGCAGTCACATATTGAGCCTGTCCCGGAAATATACGATGTAGCAAGCGGGCCTTTCTCACTCGGGTGCACCTCCGGGATGTGTCAAATCCATGATTCCCTCACTATCTCACCATCCAACTCCTCAATGGGGAGGGATGGTTCCACACGTTAATACCCAGCATCAAGCACCGATGAACACACGGCGCCTAACATGGCGTTCGTATCTTTCGGAAGAGAGTGCTTCCAAGTGCTTCTGATTCTAGACCGCCATGAAACACAATGCCCTGATCTTAAGATAAGACCATGGCTATGATCGGAGTTTTTTCCAAGGTTTTTTTTTCTTGTATCTCAGCTTCAGCCTTGCTTTCAGAGACATGTATTTTTTTACCGATTGCTGTTTTCCATGTCAGTTTGAAAAGGATATGATAATTGAACTCGTTGGTTCCAACATGGTTTCATCCCTGATCTCTATCTGTAGAAGTACTAGACTGAACATGTCATTAATGACTCTGCCACGCCTTCGTTAGACTTTACAAGTACAGTGACACAGCAAATGTTTTAGCTGGCTAGAGTTTACTGGATTTTATACTCCGTATTCCGTATGTTGGATGGCAACGAATATTCAGTCTTGGAGTTTCCTTGGACGCACTGACCGTCAAGCTAAGCGCCGTGCATATATGTTTCGTGAGATATAGCTTTTGCCCTCGATTCTCTCGTTTCCTTATTAGAAGACAATACATTGTTCTCTATGGATATCATCTCAAACGGGGCCTCGTTTCAACACAAGGCCTCATGACCACTTGGATCGCTAACGATAGAAACCGATGATAATGTAACTTCGACTTTGTATATCCAAGACATATATCAGCTTAGAGTAATGATGATTCTAAAGATATTTAAGAAGTATCGTTTGCCATGTAAATCTGTCTCTATCATCTCCAAGTCTCTCCATCATTGAACTCTCCATCCTTCCAAAATCGCACGCATATACCACCATGGGCCAATCTTCATCGAGATACCTCAACGTATACATTGTATACACCCTATGCACTCCTTCCGGGCACCCGACCCGCTCAGCCCTCTTCGTTAGTGAGGAGGGATCTTCTACTGGCGACCACTACTACCTCGCCGACGATGCCGTCTGGGGGTATTGCTACAAGCGTGAACGAGTGACATACTCGACCCAACACCCGAAATTCAAGGGTACCGAGTTGGTGTTCACGGGCACCACACGTCTTCGAAGATATCCTAAGAGCTGGGACTCTCTGCTGCGCAACTTGCCTGCTGAGCGACTGAGCGGGAAACAAATGGTGGCTATGTCTCGTGAGAAGGTGGGAGGATTTGCTTTGCCATGAGGCTTTGACTTTGTTGAGAATAAATGTATCTTGATGTGCCTCTTCACACCATTGATATAGTGGCCTGGTTTGGTTGGGTGGACTAGTGAAACTGGTCTGTTGGTTCTGTTGGTTCCATTGGTCCTGGCGTTCTGTTGTTCTGTTGTTCTGTTGTTCCGTTATCTATATAGTCCGTGTTATTGAATCTATTGGTATTTATAGGCTTACATATTGGCTTCTATAGATAGAGTAATATTGAAGCCATAGTATAGGCTTGGGGGACTGAAACAGACCTCAAACAATGGAGAGGCGCCTTTGTGATTTCTTTGAAAAAGAGAAACAGAAATAGAAATAAGAATAAAACAGACAAAGGGTATTTAAGAGTGAGCGTTCGCCGTGTAAACGTGCCTCCATATCATCCCCAAGTCTACTCCTCGAGCTCTCTATATCTTTCTACAAAGACAAACCCTCGAAGCAACTCTTTCTACTATGAACAATACCACGAAGAGCATCACCGACACCATGATCAACGTCACTTTGACGGAGCCCCAGAGACACAAAGTCTACATTGTCAAATACAACTTCGCCTCCTCTCCCCCAGAAGGCGACTCGGCCATCTTTGTCAAGACCAACGAAGAGGTCGGCCACATTCACTTCATTGCCTCTAAAGATGCCGGCGCCCACTTATACCACGACCGTGTGAGCGTCAGGGCGCATGAAGTCACGGAAATAGGAGAAAGCCTGATGCTAATAGGCACCACTCTCACCAAGAACTACCCCGGTAGTTGGGATGAGGCGCTGCGGGTAGTCGAGGAGAACCAGCAGTATGCGACACCTGCAACTTCCTCGGCTTTGTCGGGCTCTGCTCAAGCTAGGATGAGGCGTTTGAGGGTCTCTCGCTGGACTCAGGAGTGTGCTAGGCCAGCGTTGGAGAAGGCTGGGCTTTTGGAGAAGTTGAAATGAGCTCGAAGGGGATTGAGGAGGTGGGAAGAAGAAGAGTATATGGTTGAGGATATGGACCAAGAGGAGACGAGGAAATAGTGCAGTTGATATAGGATTTCTATGAGAGCTAAAGTTGGAAATGTACCGAGTAGTACTTCGATGTTTGTATAATTTTTACTTAAATGGACGCTATCGTTTCCCGTAACACCCTCACTTTGAAGCTCTCGCCAGCTTCTGCCATTTCAATCCACCGAGGTTCTCTACATCAGATTCACCATGGAGGATCGACCAAACCTGACCAACCCGCGCTTTACTCTCGAACTTGAATTTGTCTCGTCTCTCGCCAACCCTTACTATCTGTCACACTTGGCTGTCACTTATCCCAATCTCCTGGGTATCGCTCGTGCTGACGATGACGATGACTCTCCCTCGCCGGACGCCCAGGCATTTGCAGCCTACCTAGCCTACCTCTACTCCTACTGGAAGACACCAGTGTACTCTCAGTTCCTCACCCACCCTGGTCCCACACTGCGAGCGCTTCGACTGCTCCAGGAGGACAACTTCCGCCGTGACATTATTCTACCCCAGGTCATTGAAGGTCTGGCAGGGGTCAGTGTCCCTGAACCAGCCCAGGCCGAAACCGACACGGCAGATGAAAAGCAGGAAGATGCCCAAAATGGGAAGACATGATGCGTTTGAATTCCGATCCTACGCTCGATGCGACCGAGATGTCATACGAACACACCGCGCCCTGACATATTTAAGTCGAACAAGAAATTAAAACTCTGGTGATTTCATTTCCACCGAGCCCCCCTTTGGCGGAGTTGAGCATGGGAGTTTGGTGAACGTGCTGTGCGACCGAGGATTCTCAGGCCCCCGAGGTTTCAGAGTTGTCAATCGAACTCCCAGTGAACTCCGATTTTTCAAGGGCCCCATTTGCTCTGACGACAGTGGCAGAGAATTGCGGGGGAAAAGACTAAGCGGCGTTGGAGATGACCGACAATATATCTCCGAGCTGAAGACGCTATGTCATTTTGGGGTTATCGCCACACTCTCCTATATAATGAAGGGGATAGCAATTGGAATTGACAATATTATCTCGATGCGCAATTCTTCCGAAATACGAAAAGAATATAAAAAAGATAAACCCTAGGACCTTCTATGTATACTTAAGACTAGACAGGAGTGGACGAACAGGTAGAATATAGAATACGCCCGATGATCCCGGAGCCCAATCTTGTTTTAATTTTTTCTTCTATCGTCTCCCCTTTCCAACTTCCATTCCTTTCAAATCAGTACATTTTGAAGATTTCTGTGCCTTTTCAGACTCGTTACGACAGAGCCCCGCCCCCTGGTAATCGGCCCTGAACTATTCCGTGCACAAGTACCTCATCAACCCCGTTGTCATCTACATACTCCGTACGTTGCGCCGGTTCGAACATTCCAACGTCTCTCCCATGGACCCTTAACTAATACTCTCTCAAGCACTCTCGCTTGTCTCTAATTCATCTTCCACCTCGAATACTACCAAGTTCCCCTCTTTCGTGGAACCCCCGCCTGGAACTGCATGTGACACTGCGTTTCCAATGGAATCTGTTCGCCAGTCTTGCCGGCCAAAGCACCAGGTCTTGACCTTGAAATGTTATCCTAAATACCAGAAGGGAGTGTCGGAGGTTCGGCCGAACTCCAGCGAACTCTCATACCTGCTATACTATACGAGCACGCGCCGCAGCAAGTTGACCAAGGTCTGCGGTTTTCTGGAGAAGAGGGTTGCCCGAGATGTCTGGAGACGCAGAATAGGGTGAGCGCAGACTCTGACCGCCCGATTAATTGGACTCGGACAAGACGAATAACTGACCGATTTCGTTGCAGAAATGTTCAGGTGGCGCTGCATATCCTAGCTGCGATCATCGAAAAAGTTCCTCGCGACCTTCCTATCTACGCCCGATCCGTCATGACAGTAATCGATACCATTCTGCGATCCAACGATATAAATATGGTGGAGGAATCGATTGTGACCTTCGAAATGTTCTGCCGATATCAGGACATTGCGGCCATCGCGGCTGACCAGAGCCTTGCACATCAATACCGAGAAGTTGTGCGAACTTACACCGGCCTTGCTGACCCGGGATTTACATCAAATGCGAACGCAGATTTCAGCCCGCAGGTGGCTATCCGGTGGAGAAATGCGGGACTGCGCGCTATTAGAGCGGTGGTCAGCTCAGAGACCTTGACCGCCGATGGAGGAACATTGCTGAAGCTCTGTTTGCCGGTTATACTGAAGAACCTCTATTCTGAAGATGAGAATCTTCTTACAACACTGAAAGAAAAGCTATCCGAAACCGAGGCAAATGAACGCGAGCCGCCCAAACCCCGCCGAATGAGTGTCAACACGGTGCACACAGTGGACGTGGCAGAAGGTGACCCCGAGCTGGCAGCGCAGTCGGCCGCTGAGGCGGATCGAAAGGCGGAAATGGATGCACGGGTCTTGGCCCTGCGCTGTCTCGAGCAGACTATCGCCTCGGGGAGTAACCGGGGCCAGATCCGTATTGTAGTAACGGTCATTCTACAGTTCATCTCAAAAAAGGGCTTCCCGCAGAGCGAAAAGTGCGGCGAGATTACCGAGGGCAAACGTGGCAACTGGGCAACATCTCTGATCGACCTCATTGCGAACTGGTGCCCGGTGCAAGTTCGTTTTATCATCTTGATCACAGCTATGGAGATTCTCCATGATACAACCCCAAGGGAGGATGCTTTAGAGTCCTCATTCACCATTCTCTCTGTGGTGGATTCGCTTCTCAAATCTTCTGTTAACATGATTGGACTTAGTGTTATGGATGTCCTCTATGGACTTATGCACTACGCTTCTGAGATACTGTCACCGTCAGAGCGTACTGGCTCTGCAGATGGAGAGAAGAAAAATCGACAAGCTGAAATCGTGGTTCAGATCTCTCCCCAACGACAGGATCTTCTTACGCTACTGGAGCAGTCTATTGGAGATCTTGCAACACACATATACTACGGAGACCAAGTCGAAGACATGATGCGGGCCATTCTCAGGCGCTTTAAGCCTCATCTCCACCATGATAGTTCCTCGCCATCCACATTGGCAACCGTTCAGGAATCCGGAGTGACACATGAGGCGACAAATGACGAACCCGAGACAAATGGAGACAAAGCAAGCACAGAAACCTTCTCGCATGCTGCCGCTAAACTGACTGCTCTCAGAGCCGTCAAGGCTATCTTGGTTGTGGCTAATTCAAAAACGCTAGCAACCATGTCTGGTGTAGAATCTAGACATTCAGTCGGGATCCATGTGTGGGAAGGAACCCAAGTACTTCTTCGTGATGTGGATCGTGATGTTCGCTATGCCTATTCCGATGCATTCCTATCATGGCTGCAGATTGAGACCAACGGGAACGACCTCAAGGTGCGATTAGATTCACCCAAGTACATCAAGACTCCCAAGAAAGACACCGAGCAGATGGATAGGCCGACTCGACGAGGTTCGTCGGTCCCTGCTACCCAGAGGGACAAAGTGGTGCTGGTGGCACAGTCGAACTTCCTCCGCCTTCTGCACCTGGCTATCTACGATGCTGCAATCGAGGCAGCGACCGAGGAAGCCGAGATCCTCCTGCTGCACCTACTTCTTGCAAATCTTGTCGAGAACCTCGGGGTGAATGCCGCTCAATTCGGTGTCCCTATGGTCCTTAAATTGCAAGACGACTTGTTTACATCTATGGATCTGAGTTCCTTCGCAGCTCGCGTTAACATTGGAAGCTTGGTACACGGATACCTTCTTGCGCTGTCTGAGCATTTCGACATCCAGTCCTTCCCCGTGGGCCAGGAGATAAGTAATGTGATTCAGCAGCGACAGGCCAAGGGATACTGGCTTTCTAAAATCCGCCTACCCCCAGTCGATCTTCATGCCATTGTTTTTGACAGCGAGAAGAGGTCTGACAATGACTCCACCTCCCCACCTCCATTGACACCATTCCGCAACGTCGAAGGACTTGTCTATATGATTGAGGAGTCTTATTGCAAATCGGTATCTTCTCCTCCAGAAAGTCCCTCCTCGGCTTCTTCCCCAGCACGAGGATTCACGTTCCCGGTACTTGGCTCCACAGCAACAGTCAAATCCCAGGTTGAGAGCCACCTCCCGTCCGTCGTGAAGGAACAGATGTTGTCTTCGTGGTCTCGCGAGGCATGTTTGGCAGCTGTCGATAAGGAAAGCACTGGAACACCATCGGTATCTGGCTCTCGGGCTACTACAAATCCCCGCTACAACCAAACCAACATGGCTACAAATGGCTCACCCGCCGACTCCCAATATAACCGCCGCATGAGCATTCCAGAAATATCAGGCTCGTCATCCAACAGTTCGAGCAGGAGCTCGCCTGTTCGCGTCAATGAGCTTCGACGCGTGCTTTCGGTTACTAGCGACTCCCATGATCGACGCCTCAGTCCGCTACGTGGACGACTTGACGCATCGAATGACAGTTCCGTTTCTTCCGGGAGCGAAAGCATGATGAGCGGCAACTTCTCTGTTTCCGAGATAGATGGAGATGCTACCTCAATCCGACCAGAGAGCCAACGAACACCAGATGACGATGGACTGGAGACACCCCGCGCCACGCCTGCGGCATTTTTCCTATCAGGCGATAAAGCCGAAGACATCCCTCCCGTGCCACCGGTCCCAACTGGCTTGTCCATCCCAGGTGGTTTCCCGAATGACTCACAGCGCTCGCTGGCCTCATATGATCGCCCATTTACCGCACCAGCTCCATCGGGACCTCCAGCGAGAGACAGGGCTGATGCCAATGCCTTAAACTACAAGCCTCTAAACCGCAACAAGAGCCGGTCCAACCACAGCCTTGCCACATCTGGGATTCCCGAACTCTTAACCGACTATGAGACCAATGACCCAAATGGCAACCACCAAGATCAACTACGGAAGCTCTTGGATGGGTTCCTCTCGCCAAACGAGAATAAGCTGACGAATGGATCCCGCCCGGCAACTGCCATATCTGCCTCCAAGGCTCTGCCGAGCAGATCTAGCAGCAAACGACGCAGTGGAGGCCTTGGTCGGCCACCCTATTGATTTTCTTTGTTTGATTCATACCTCATCATTCTGCGGGCATCTCCACAGCCGTTTCCATTCCATGGCCCTTCATATGTCTATATAATTTTCATTCTGTTAGAGGCTCTTTTTTCTCACCCGCCTGCCTCGCCTTCCATTGTTTTTCATGTTTTGATTTGCCGGTCGCGGTTTCACAGCGGTTTGCGATACGCATGTCCTTTCTGTTTTGCCGGTTCGGTTATTTTACTTCGGCTCGGTGTCTATCATTGTCTTTTTCTTTTTCTTCTTCACTTGCATATTTTTTTGAACGCTTGGACTCTGTTTCTTGTCTGTCGGCACGCACATTTTCTTTTCCTTTGTTAGCTTGCGATGAGTAGTCGCAGCGTTGTGTAACTAGCTACATTGTCAATAGACATAAAATAGACGGTGCTAGAACGAACATGGCAAGAAATGGTAGTTCTATAAATGTAACCAACCAGCCATACGGCGTTGGATTGGACTTCGAATTTGAGGCTAGTATCCAAAATATGAAGCACACGCAGTTGGGATATCGTACAATAAAAGCAAACGCCCAAAAGAGAATGATCAGAACACGGGCTGCACAACTAGACCCGGCGAAGGACGCGACTTCTCCAGCGGACCAAAGTACTGAGTAAAAGCCTTGCGCAGCGTCTTTTCAGACAGATCCATATGCTCTCCAGGGGCAGTATTGAAGTCCAGCTTCCCCTGCTCATCCAGCTGCTTCAGCCCGACCCAATCCTCCTTATAGATCGGCCTCTCGCGCAGAGCCGTCACCTCACCAGTAGTAGTATTAACCTCCGAGAACAAAGCACTCTCCTTCGGAACAGCCACCGTATCCTCCTCAAACATAAACATGGCAAACCGATTCAGCGCCGCCAGATTCTTCTTATACGTCTCGTTCTTGACCGCCCGCTCGTTGTTGATATCCGCCAGAAAATTGCTGTGCTCGAGGTACGAATCCAGGTCTTCCGGGTCGCGGAAGTACTGAGCCGGCACGACGCGCGACTGCGCAAAGCTCGTCCACCGTCCCGACCGCAGGAGCTGCTCCGCGCCCTTGCAGAACCAGTTATCGTAGGCGCACGACTCAAACGCCGAGATGCCGTTGTGCTGGCTGCCGAATGTGACGAGGTTGTGCACGGGCGGCGTGTTGCACCGCTCGATGTACCCGCGGAGGAATTGGCCGCCCTGTGAGAAACCTAGTGCGTTGATGGCGGGCGCTGTGCTGAGGATTGGGTCCGCGGCGAGCTGTTCGCAGACTAGCGCGATTTGCTCTGTTACATTGCCGAAAAAGGTTGCGGAGCGGTCGCCGCTGCCGTCGTTGGCTAGGCGGATGAGGTGCACGTAGGTGCCGGGGTTGGTGGCTTCGGCTAGTTTGGCAACTTCGGCCAGCCCTTCGCGTTCGAAGTCATCGCCTAGACCGTGCCAGATCACGAGCGGGAGTTGGGTTCCGCTGGTTGTATCTGGGGCGGATTGCCACGGGAGCGCGATTGAGAGTGTGTTGGTGGCCAGTGCGGCCAACAGTGTGATAGAACGCATTATTGAACGATGGAACTGGTAATCTTGGGATCTTCGCGCCGTTGATAATTGGAGATGGTTGTGGAGACGGAAATGACGTTGCTTCGGGAGGCAGCTACCAATCATGTGATGACCGAATACGGCAATTTAGACCTATAGGAACAGAAAACCGGTGCAACTTACGATGTACAGGAGCATGGGCATTTACGGCGTGCATGTAGAATGGCCTAGGCAGTGGATTTGGTTGGGTCAAGGATCTTAGTGGTCTATTCATTTGTTGGTTGGTTGGTTGGTATGGAACTATGTAATCGTTTTTTCCCTTCTAAATCAGGCGATGTTGCTGACCTCGGAAAATCCAACGGCACTACCATGATACTGTTGGCTTACGGCGTGACTAGCAGGCCGCCCCCGGGAAGACGGGGTTCACAAGGAGCGAGAAGCATGTGCTTCCCCGACACCTATCTGATATATCCGAGAACATGTGTCATTCATCTGACTTGCATGAAAATGAGCATCGACGTTATAGCCTGCTCGGCATAGCCCCGCGCCGAGGGAATTGCGAACGGGGATAGAGATTGGTAATCCAGGTAGCTGTCAGATTCTCTTTGCCCATGTTCTGTTCCGTAATGGGAGATTCTTCATGGTCAAGGAGCATTGACTGGGACGACATGCTGTTCATGACCACCCCCGAGCTGGCGTTGGATTGCGCCACTGGCCGTCCGTCAATCTCAAACTGGATGTCTTCTTCAATGGTATCGATCACCGAGGATGGATTTCTGCCTCTTCGTTGGGATCTGGGCCGTTCAATAAAGGCAGACCCGTTGTTGTTAGGTGCTACCAGTCGATTTCTGTTCTTGTCGTTTAGCTTTCGTCGCTTCCCAAAGCGCTCGACATCCCTGACAGATGTAAATGCAAGGTCGAGTGGACGTGCAGCAGACACGGCTGCCACATCAGGTTCTTTCAGCAGTTGGCGCTTGACCCCGGTCAAGCCACTATCACTATGAGAGGTTTGACCAGTCAAATGTGAGTCCGACTCTTCCGGAACTCTAGAATCAGCACGATCACATGTTAGCACGAGTACGCCCACACGGATTGACGGAAGCAAAGCCAAAGCAACCAACAGTTCTTGACTGACTGATTTTCATTTGTCTCTGCCCCCTCATCCTCCCTAGTGCTCGAGCCCTTGAATTCATCAGGGAAGTTTCGAAATGGCGAAGGCGGGGAAATGACCGTGCCCTTTTGGAGTCTCGACCTAGCGAAATTCTGCTTCTGAGCTTTGGTCAATAGGCCTGAGCGAGTGTGATGACGCTGCAGCTGGCCGCCTGTCCAATTCATTATGCCAAGGAATGGAGTGTGGAGAGTGGATAAGGCCTCCGTTGTCAGATGGGGATGTGGGTGTTTGTTCCAAATCGAGACAAACAGTGTAAACAATACAAATGTACACGTGTCACGTGATCTGGCCAACTACAAAAAATCTTTTCCTCTTTTCTTTTTCCTTTTCTCCGTCAATCACAGTCCAGACTGCCCTCACGGCCCTCGACGACTTGTGATGACTTGGTTTTTCATGCCAACTCATCCTTCTTCCGACAATTCCCGCTAACAGGTAAGCCTATTATTATTTTTTGATTTCTTTTGCTGCTTCCCAAGGGCGTTTGCCTTTCGTGATGAACAACCAATATTAAAGCATAGTTCACCTGAGATCTTCGGATTGCTGAACGAAAACATATTCCATTTTTACTTTTCTGATCCTGTCAACCCTGTCTATCTTTTTCTCACACTTCTTTTGAACTTGGCTGACTGAACAAAGACCCGAAAATAGGAGAAAAGTGACTGCATTGCTGCCCAACGTGGGTCTGGTAGACTGGCTCGCCCCGTGCCGTCGTCCAGTAATCTTAGTTTTATTGATTGGAATAATTTACATTTACCATTTATTTCTTGCTTCACTGCTCCGTATACCCCGTATACTCCGTGCGTATGTTGTACTATTTCGAGTCGCAACCGCTGTACAAGCATGCTGCAGGTATACTTCCCGTGGCCCTCTGACGTGGGATCCTCTCCTCCATACGATCCCCCTGAAGTGAAACAGGAGTTGGACATCTCATCGAACACGCGAGCGAACCTGCCGATCCCTCAACTCGGACTTCGTCTTACACCGTCATCCTTCGGCCGTCACCAATCATACTTCTCGCCAAGCACTAAGACGCCGAGCCCGTCTCACCGCTAGTAGATATCCCTCCACTCAGTTAACCGAGCCACCCCCCTATCTGCACATGCCATCACCGCCAGTCGACAGCACTGGCCTTGACGGTGCCAACAGCGCACTCGTCTCCTGCATGATGCGAGACTGGCACACGCCATGTTTTATGGCCCACAGACCCTCTCAAGTCCGAGCTTTCATTTTTTTGTGTGCTAAAAACCCGCTGATCCCCTCCTCCATTCTGTTTCTTCTTCTTTCTTCCTTAACTCTGAGTACCCCTTTCTACCACCACCACCACCACCACCACCTTGACTACCTTGATTACCTTGTGTGTCACTCTTATATATACTCCTCTTCAACAACTCAGTCCCTGGACCAAGGACAACTTCTTTCTTAACCTAAGACTCCCTGGTTTTTGATCCAATCACTGCCACAAGGATTTTTCTCTCTGCCACATACTTCCCGGACAGGATTTGTTTTCTTGTTATCTCCCAGGCTTCTCTTTAGTCTGCCACTTCTCGACAAACACAATAGGTAGCTCCCGTCACTTTTTCTTTTCAATTGGTTCTCCTATGCGTTGTTTTTTTCCTGCTTTGTCTGGACCTGTACCTGTCAGCTGCGCTTGCCAAAGGATGTCGACAACCTATTGCCCAGGACCCAAGGACCTTAGACCTACCACACCCGGACTTGTTTTTTTGCCAATTTTGGCGACCATTGAGGAACCACTGCCCAGGATACTTGCCTACTTGCCTTCAGCACCTGCTGAGTGAATCTCTTTGAGATGTGTTTAATGTTGCACTCTCAAATCGCCTGATTTCCACTACCACCGGACTACTGCCAATGGATGTTTCTGCTTTTCACATTGCCTCTGCTCTAAGACCGGAGTTTGAGTGCGGATTTTGATATACCCTGGACCCCACTGCCTCTGGAAACAACACTGGAATGAACCACTTAATGACTTGATGTCTCTTTGCCTGGATATCCGATACTACTATGGCCACCGTCTCTCAACAATAATGGAACCACTTTGACCCCAAGGAATCAACCAAGGAATCTTTCAAGCTAATGTGCTTGCTCCCTGACACTTATGGTCTTTCGAAGCATCCGCTTTAGAATTCTGCTTAGGCCGTTGCTCTATGGAACCTGGCCGTTGTGTACCTACCTGACCTGGCCAAAAATGAACGACTTTTCTTTTGCTTACCTGGACTCACCTGGATGATGATGCTTCAACCAAATAGTAACACCGGCCATGAAAATGTTTCTCGCCCTGGGACCACATAGCCTTCCCTTGGATTGACAACAGACCTGGACCCGAACATAGACACGATACATTGACCAGGACCTTACGATAATCCCTGGTCGGCCAAGGAAATCTCAATCCCATATAAACGACTTCGGTGCGTATAATTAAGTCGTGACGCGGCCTAGTCTCTTTACTGACTCTCACTAGGTATCCCGTCGCTTCTGGACCATGGAGCTCTTGTTTTTGTTCATTTTTGTTCTGTTTTCTTTTGCTTTTTATTTCATTGTTCGATGAGGAGTAGTAGATACTAACTCTTGGTTTACAGTGTTTTTTCCTCACAACCACACACACAATGTCTCCAAGGAACACCAGCGACTCTGATCGTGTCTCTATCTCACAGTCCATGCATACCTCCATGGTTTCAGGAATCTCAAATATGGCCTCGAGATCAATCCAGGATGATGAAATTTCGAGCCATGACAGCTCCTCGTTGTGCTCAAGTATCCGTACAGCCCATGGAAATCCACAGGACATGAAAGACTGGACACTAAACCGCCAAGACTCCCTTGACCAGGCCATGTCAAAATCAGACTCATCCGAGGTTCACATGCTTTCTTTCTCTCTGTCACAGCAGCTGATGACCCCCACGGTCGGACCAAATGATATTATGTACCCAGGCATGGACTTCCCAGCAGTCCCTGACATGGACCATGAAATGACCCGGGATCTTTATAACTCCTTCCTGGATTTCTCTTCTGTTGAAAATGATGTCTGTGTCGGAAACGGCACCCCAGATGATGCTCTTTCTATCGGGCACAGCTCTCACAGTACCGAGGACGGCCACTATATCACAGGCCCAGAGTGGACCCCAATGATGCATGATACCCATTACCCAGGAACCACCATGGAATACGCGTCAGGTCTTTACCAGACCGCCCCGGTCTCCCCACCACTGACCGACGCTAGCAATGATATTTCTTGCTCACACGCGGGATACTCTTCATTCATGGCCCCCGATGATGCACTCCTCGGAGACTTCACCACATCGCCCATTGGAACGACCCATGGACTCAACCCGGCGGAGCCCTTGTTCCCCAGCTCTTCTATCAACGACAGAGATCCCCGCAGGTGAGTGTCAGAAAGAGGTACACCCAGAATACAAAACATGTGATCGGAAACCTAACCACAATATCGTAGGACCATCAGACCCTCAAAGCCATCCCGACGTTCGGCGTTGTCATCTGTTTCCCAGCAACAAATCAAGACTGAGCCCGATTTCTTCCCAACCCTCCCAGTGAGAGAGCCAGCCCGCCCAAGATCCAAGGAAGGTGTTGAGGCTCGCAACCCGCGAGAGCACCAGTATTATTCCATGTCCACCCACAGCGATGGAAAATACTACTGCCCATTTGCCACTGGAGAGAAACCCTGCAGCCACCCACCCACCACGCAAAAATGCGCTTACCAGCAAGTCCTCCCGTGATGAAATCTTTGGTGCAATGAACCCAGCTAACCAATATCAACTAACAGCAAGTACTTGGATTCCCATCTCAAGCCATACCGCTGCAAGGTCCCCGCCTGCATTGATGCCCAGCTGCGCTTCTCTTCCAACGCCTGTCTGTTCCGCCACGAGCGCGAGGCTCACGGATTACATGGCCATGGAGATAACCCCCACCTCTGCCTGTGGGAGGGCTGTGAACGCGCCGTTCCAGGAAATGGATTCCCACGGAGATGGAACCTGTACGACCACATGCGTCGCGTGCACGACTATGCCACCTCCGAGCGCCACAGCTCGCCCGAGACCTCGCCCGGTGCTGGTCAGATCAAGAAGAAGGAACCCACTGGCCGCAAGAGAAGAGTCACCGGTGCCACCCCGGCTCCCACCATGAAGCGCACTCGTTCCGTCAACTCCCAGGCCAGCTCCATCAAGGCCAGCCAGGCTTCCGCTAGTCTTAGCCAGCACCTCCAGAACGCCGAGCAGAACTTCTTCAAGTGCCGCTCGCGTCTGCTCGAGGAGCTGAGTACCATTTCCCCCAAGGATACTATCATGCACGAGAAGGTCAATGCCGGTTTCCAGGAACTGTTCACCTTGGGTTTGAACTACCGCCAGATTGAGGCCAGCCAGGCTGTTTCCCACATGCCCAATGGATTGCCTTGAAGGGTTAAGGAGCTGTAGGCCCTCCGTCCTGGAGGAGAACAGCGGTTTTCTTTGAACGACACGAACAAACTTCACGGAGGATTTTTTTCTTGATTTCCTTTTTTACTCCGGCTAGACTGTGCTTGCTGGCTAGGCACTTTTACATGGAGAACCCGGTGCGATCGCTCGCGAGTACACAATGGACTTCGGCCGAAGGATTGTCCCGTTTGATCCCATCATCGCACAAGGACAATCCGATTCCAGATATGGATATAACGGCCAGGAACTGGATAGGACCAGCGTGGTACCCCACCCCACGCTCGAGAGCTTGTTGATCCGCTCCGGATCGCAGGCTGCTCACATGGGGATCTGGATTCGTACCAAGGGCTTCTGAGCTTTTTGGCCTGAATTCCAGATCCATGGACAAAACCATCCCCAATGACACAAAGACCCGAAACTTATGCGGAGGAAACAGCAAAGCGGGATACTGTGTCTCAAGGGGAAGAAGAATGACAGTAAAGAGAGATATAGCTATATATTGTCCAACAATTGGTTGGATTCTGATTTATGCATGTTGATAGATAGTCTTGCGTTCTTGTATCTTCTTTCAAATGACTTTTTACTTTGCAATCCTTTTAAACCACGTACAGCTGTAGATCTGAAGGGTATCCAAGTCGTAACCTCGTTTTCTCATAAACACCAACTGACTTTTTATAATGAACAAGACCGCACAAACATCTATTCCTCTGCAGCCTCCGTAACCGCACCCGAGAACTCAGCATTGAGAAACCGCACAAATGCATCTCCAATCTGATCCGCCGCCAATGAACCATGACCCCGCCCAACATACGATCTATGCAAGCTAATCCACTGCCTCCGCAGCCTCTGCAGCCGCGGCAACGCCAAAATCCCCCCAGCAGCAGCGAGCTCATCCGTCGTTCCCGCCATGGCAACATGAGCCGGAATAAGTATGGGAATAGTCTCGGGCACGTCAATGGCGATTGTATCTCTGCGACTGCTCTGCGCAAGAGCTACCTGCGCCGACGAGTATGTCTGCGTGAAATTGCGGATCGCAGTCACGACCGCCGACGTCCGCTTCTCCATTGCGTACATTGCGTTCGAGTCCGTTGCCGCTGCCTGCACGGTGGCTTGGTGCGGGATGATCCGGGCGCGTGTGGAGATTCCGCTGCGGCCGCCGCCTCGCGTGCCGGTTGCTGTGCTGGCGACGTCGGAGATGGTGGTGGATTTGAGGGCGTCGATTAGGCTTGCGGTGGGGGTTTCGGTGGGTGCTTCCGTCGAGGGGAGGACGACGCCGGTCAGGGCTTCGAAGATGTCTGATACCGGGGGTTCGGGGTCCGCCCAGGGGACTGTGAAGAGCGGCTTATCCCAGCGGCTGTGCGTGCTTGGTTCCTCGTAGCGGAAGATGAGGTTGTTGAGGAGTTCGGGTGGGTAGGCTTCCTCGTTGTCCTCGGTGGACTCTGAGTCGGGTGCGGGGGTATCTTGGGATTCGGAGGTCTGCGCATCCGATGTGTTGGGGTTTGTTTCCTTGGTGGCGTCTCGGCGTAATCGGGCGTCATTGTTGGCGACGCACTGGTCGACGGGTGTCCCGACGTGAACCTGGAACAGACTTGTCAGCCATTGAATGTCGCAATCTAATTTGTATGTTCCGATATCGTACCACGCAGCATGTCGTTTGCGCCGCTTTCGCCTCGCACCACAGCTGGTATCTCCATCCTTTGATATAATTCATTCCATCGAGGATGACAATGCTGTCCCGCTTGAGCACGCGTTTGGTTCGCGCGTAGGCGACGCCGCGTGCCTCCTTCTCGGTGCGGGCATGGTCGTAGACAATCCGTGGATGGGAGGAATCGTGTGAAGCGACCACGTGCACCTTGTATCGGGACTTCAAGGAGACCTGCGCGCCTGCTTCGGCTGCTGCGAATACTTCATCTTGGTGTTTCTCGATCAGAGATGCGAGTTGATTGGCACGGTAGGTGAGACCGGAGCACGGGTACCCCGTTAAAATAACGAGCTGAGTGTGTAGATGTTAGATTTGATTGTAGAATATATAAGGTTTGTCGACATACCGGCATCGTTGACTTGTGCGTTTGTTCAAACAACTTTTTTTTATCATTGCGGGGGTTGTGGCATGTGACCCGCATCTATATCCACGACCTTCCACCCTTGAAGAACTTGCATTTGCATTATCATGCAGAATATTATTGGCAGGCTATTGTAAATTGCAAATTTCTGAGCACTCTAGTACGGACACGATGCAAAGCTACATATACACCGAATTAGGCCGCGAGATGGCTTTCTCACTGAGAATCACCTGATTATTACATAAGCTCGAGGGCTTGCTCACTTACGGCGATGACCCCATGAACATGAAGCTTTTGGCGCAAATTTAGAGATGGTAAATATCTTCTAGAACATATCTCTATCCCAATGTATACAAATCTATCGAACTTTTGTCATGTAATCATGTCATCGTTCCAAAAAGGCCGAAGTATCAAACCAACGACTCAAACAGCTTTGGATGAATCCTCCAGTTGATCCTGCGCCCATCGGATCTCATATCCGAACACGGTTTTTCGGAGCCTTTCATCCTGTGAAGAGTCAGTACACGGTCATAATCCAAAGGAGAATCCTCAAAATGACTTACGCCAGGGTCTTTCTCAAAAAGCACCGTATCCATCACCTTCTCAAAGACCTTGGTGACAGTGAAACCGCTCGCCTCGGCCAACGGGAAGAATTGCTCAGTCTTGGGCAACAGCCAGGGCTGGTAGGGGGTGAAGATAACCAGAGCAACAGATTTCGGGTCCTTCTTCAAGGTCTGCTGCATAGTCTTGATCAGATTCGGGTGCTCGCGGTGGCTGTATACCACATCCGCCATGATCAAGACGTCAAACAACGACGGAGAGCCATCGGCAGCAGGAGGCAGATACGCTCGCAGCGGGCTCACATCGCTGCCCCATTTGTAGCCATCGACATGGAGGCGGGGCTTTCCGTCTTCCCTCGCGGGAATGGCACTGGCCGCCAACTCTGCGTTGTGCTTCATGTTTTGAACTAGATCTGGATCCGGGTAGTCGGTCAATACCACGGTGCGGGCGCCCTGAATGGCGCTCACGATGCTGGGAACGCCGGCCGCGGCACCGATTTCGAGGACATCCTTGTTTCGGATGAGATCCTCGGTGTGCTCCTCAATGTAATGGGAGCTGGTTCGTCCAGCGTTCCATAGCAGATTTCCCTGTCAAGGTCTGTAAGTAGGCACCTCAGCTGGTCGTGTCAATTGATATCATACATAGAGGGGGTGGCTGCCCACGAGACGGACGCGCACTTTCTGGCCTGATAGCATGGTGTGCTCGGCGAATGTGGGCGGCTCCTCTTCGGGATAGTACCCTTCCGGGTCCTGGAATAGGTTCCCCGAATCAAAGTCGTCGGCCATGGTAGTATATGGCTTAGTGCTTGGAGAGGAAAAAATATCAGTATCAGTTATCAATTTCTTATCGTAGACCTCGGTACGGAGTGTTGCCTCAGGCACTATCTGTATTCCAAGGTTTAGTGGGCTGATTACGGGGTCTCTCAGGCTCGGGATTCGATATTCGGGCCTTTTCATATGTGTATGTGCATTGTTCTTTGGATTGTCTGATGTTCTAACATACTCTACAACTCTAGAGAGAACTGTAGTAGTTACCCTGTTCCAATTAAACGTCACGTGTATATTCCCACGTGATGGTATCGTAATATTGTGTGGAGAAAAGCGTGGAGATACCGTCACAATACGGTACAATACCCCACCTCGGACAAATCTCGGGATTAAAGGAAAAACTGCAGTTGGCCTTCACAAGGTCATATGCACCCCTGAGGGATTCTGTGTAAATCTCTGTCTTGCAAGGTTTAGACAGCAAGTCTTTCTCTTCCATCACTTCTCTCTCTATCATTCGGCCATTCGTCCATCGTCTGCCTAGTGGAAATTGCCCCCGCCATCTAAATTCGTCTTAGCTTCCTGCAATTTGCATCCTCGAAGCGGCTTCAATTTCCTTGCCACTCTGCTCCCTTTTCCATTCTTAATCTCCCATCGCATCTTTGTCCATAGCAACAAACCCTCTCCCCGTTCTATCAATATACCCAAGTCCACGTTCAGTGCGGCCTATTCTTCCTGCACTTGCAAGATCGGACCGTTTTAGTCACGTCATGGACTCGACTATGCGAACAGTCTACAACCCTCAAGAAACTCAACCTACCTCAACACTCAACCATTCAACCGGCCAGTCCACCATGGCAGGCCAGTCTCAAAATCAAAATACCCTAGAAGTCGCATCGAATGCAACCAGGCAGATGTTTTCTTCATCCTCGCTCCAATCTGCCTGTTCCCCGCAAACCTCCGCCCCTCCCATGCAACCCTTGTCACAGGCATTCGGCAACACATCCAACTCGAGTACCCTGCCCATCGCCCCCGCAGCCAACACCCATGCATATGCAGCCCCCACTTCGGCGTCCACATCCGATGCCTACCCCCATCAGATACACGGTCTCGGGGGCCCAACTGCCACAGCGCCCTTCCTGCAGGATTTCAGTCTTGTCGCTGAGGCAGCCAAGCGCGCTCAGATGGGTATTGTCATGCGTGATCTTGAGAGCGTGACTCTGTGATTGAGGTTTATAGATAGGGCAGGACCCGAGTCGGAGATGGGGATGCCGTGCCGCACGTGCGTCTCCGAGCTGCATGGACTGGCTCCATGTTCTAGACACGTCGGGTTGGGATTATTATAGCGTATTATACGTGGATTTGGTTTATTTTGAATTTTTGCGGACGCCCCTTCTTGTTCAGAAGCTTGTTGCGTTCAAGTTTGCATTCCGTCGGATGCTTTGCAGGTTGATTCTGGTGTTGTTTTCAGACGGTGTTTCCTGGTGCTTCAATTTCTCATCTGGCTTATGGCCCCTATACCATCTCACGAGGCATGCAATATCATCTGTTCAAAAATACGTGCCATGGACATCAGGGATTAGGAGCGGAGGCGGAGACCTACAGAAGGTCTGCGTACACAAAAAGTGGTTCCACTATACACTATCTATGTATACCTCTTTCAGTCGACTTGATCTGCATATTACGTGCTTTTCCTAGGATTGTACCTCATTAGTCCATAAAAGGCACTTATAGCAGACGATATTCCTCCAATGCCGAAATGACATAACCCCCCAGTCGATCAGTGACGTAAGAATCTTTCCTTGAATCCGAACGAATCTAATCTACTAGATGCGGTATAAATCCCAGACGATCAGGTCCCACGGGATACCCTTTTGGGTTAACGGCCTTATTCCAGCGGAAGTTCTCCCCGCATTTTCCCCCGGACTTCGGGGCGGACCCGAGATCATTCCCCGGATCTCTTTGTAAACACATCCCTTGCATACATTCAAGACATACATAATTAATTCGAGACTAGTATATAAAGGATGAAGTTCCACTTCTACGTAGGCACGGTATGGAGATTCCATTCCTTTGATTCTTTATAGTTAGTTACGATATGACTACCGTCGCGCAGAAGAAAAAGCCCTACTTCGGGTTAACAGGGGGATGGCTGACCTTCTGGATTACGGTATGACTAGAGGTAACTGTAGTGTTTGATCGGAATCAATTTGACTTGTTTTGTCTTAGGTGGCATGCGCAACCGATATGACCTTGTTCGGTTACGACCAAGGAGTCTTCAGTGAGTGCTCTGGAGACTATGCAATCTTGAATTAACCTCTGATTTCAATACATGCGGCGTTGTGATCACACAGGATTTCCTTGAAGTCCACGACCTGGTCGGGCCTACGAAGACAACGATGCTATCCACGGTGACGGCGATATATGATATCGGGTGTTTCTTCGGGGCGCTTGTCGCATTCACTATTGGTGAGCATCTGGGCCGGAAGAAAGCTATCCTGCTGGGGACTACGATCATGGCAGTGGGAGGTATTCTTCAGGCGAGTTCGTTCAGTCTGGCGCAGATGTTCGTTGGCCGGATCGTGTTAGGGTAAGCCTTCTCTTCAAACCACTTTACTATCTTCTAACATCCCTTATAGTCTTGGAAACGGTAATAAGAACACCAGACTCAACCGAGATACAATATCCTAACGAGCATAGGAATAAACACCGCCACAGCCCCAATCTGGCAGACCGAAACCTCCCAAACGAAATGGCGCGGAAAGCTAGTAATCCTAGATATGATGATGAACATCGCCGGCTTCTGCCTCGTCAACTGGATCAACTACGGGCTATCATTTGCCGGCGGCTCCGTAGCCTGGCGATTCCCCCTCGCCTTCCAGTTCTTCTTCTTCTTCATTCTATGGGGTACAACGCCCTGGCTACCAGAGTCTCCTCGGTAAGCATACCCACAAATCCTTCATTGACAATCCCTAACAACAAACCCAAAGCTGGCTCCTCGCGCACGGCAAAGAAGAAGAAGCAATCTCAGTCCTCAGCTGCCTCGAAGCAAAACCCACCAACGACCCAGCCGTCATAACCCAACGCAACGAAATCGCCTTCAGCATCCAATACGAGCGACAGAACGCCATGCGCTGGCGCGACCTCCTCAAGAAAGACAAGAAAAACGACACCAAGACCCTGCGCCGACTCCTCCTCGGCGTGGGCTCCCAGTTCATGCAGCAGTTCGGCGGTATCAACATCATGTCGTATTACATGCCGACTGTACTGACGAAATCGGTTGGGCTGCCGGAGGAAATGGCGCGATTGTTGTCTGCTTGCAACGCCGTCTCGTATCTGATTTTCGCGGGGATCGCTGTGCTTTTGATTGAGCGGATGGGGCGTCGTGGGTTGATGCTGCTGTCGACTTTTGGGCAGTTCGTGTGCTTCCTTGTTATTACGGTTCTGCTGAGGTATTCTGAGACTAGTGAGGACGGGAGTGTGTATGGTAATGCCTCGGTCGCGTTTTTCTTTCTTTATTATGGCGCTTTCGGGATTGGGATGCTGGGCGTGCCTTGGTTGTATCCTACTGAGATTAACTCCCTGCCGATGCGGACGAAGGGGGCGGCGGCGGCTACTGCTACGGACTGGTAAGTATCTGGGTGGTGTGGTTACATCGTTGGCTGTGTTTTGACAAATATAGGATTACGAACTTCATCGTTGTGGAGATCACCCCGATCGGGATTCAGAATATTGGGTGGAAGTTTTGGATTGTCTGGATGGTGTCTAATGCTGTTTTCCTGCCTATCCTCTACTTCTTCTACCCGGAGACTGGTACGTTCAGAGCTATCGCATGTTATCCTCTTACTCACTGTTATTGTAGCCAACCGGAGTCTTGAGGATCTTGATGCCTATTACCGCACCAACCCATCGTTGATTGTGACTGGAGATCCGGATACCATTTGTCGAAAACGCCCGCAGAAATACATTGACCGTGAAGACGAGGAGTTCGAGAGAACGGCTGTTAGTAAGGGGGTTATGCCTGTCGAGACAGCAGAGCACGAGCACGTGGAATGGATCGAGGGAGAGGGGCAGTGAGTATTCGACAGTTGATGATAGGCATTGAGTAGTATAGTGGAGAGGATGTATGGAATAATAGCAGCTAGTTGTTTCAGAAATCAATGCACACCCAAAGGACACAGTATCGAAAGTAAATAGCGACGAACCCACCCCAGACGCAGCGATCTACTTACTCCTTAATTTTGATCCCAGTCTATTCCTGCATCCCTGTCCAACGCTAGTTGTCATTAGGGCCATTCTTCTTTTAGCCCCAAACGATAATGCAGGACCATTCCAAACCTAGCAGCCAATCTACCATGCATCGCCCAGGTCATTCTTCCCATCTTGGCATCGCATCGCATCTGCGGTATTCTCCACAGCCTGCAGAAAACCCGGGTACGTACGTTATGCGATGCGAGTGCGAGTTCGAGGCGTTTGTTTCAGATCCAGAGAGCGGTCGAATTTAAAATACGTCATCTCGGACTTTTTCCAGCCTTTATTTTTAGGCATTGACTAACGGGCTGACGTTAGCCTACCGACAATTGCTTAGCTTGGAGGGAAATGCATGGTGGCGCAATTAGCGTTATATTTATTGAACTCGAGGGCAAGGTTAGTTTTCAAGGGGTTCTGTATATGATACTCAGTATATTATTCTGATATGTCAAGGGGAGGGGGAAATGCGAATCGATATTCCAAATAGTCCAAAAATCAAAATCCCAAACACCGAGCTATGCGCAAAGTCAAGCAGAGGGAAGTAGAAACAACACATAACCTCAACACATGAACTAGCGATATTAATAAAATGAAAATGATCGCTGTCCACCGCAGAAATTGACGCAGAAAAAAAAAAAAAGAAACAAAAAGTGCAAAAACGAAGAATGAGTATACCGGAACACCCCTTGCGCATGTATGTATGAATAGCCGTGCAATGCACGACAGCTCGAGCGTCGACTCCATGATCACCGATGGGGACTGACAATGCTCTCTTTTGTGATGATCATATATGATAATTTCCGATTATTCGTACTGAGTCGAAGAACCGATCAGATCTGGCGAAGATATGCTAGCTTCCTTGGAACGGTTGAGCTTGTTCCGAGAAGAGAAGACCGAGAACCGGCGGGACAGCCGGCTCATTCTCCTAGTCGGCGAGGACCAGTTGTCGAAGGAGATGATGGACATTGGCCGCGACCGCGGGGGCCCGTGGGATGTCATCGGGCCCTCTGGGCGAGTCGGGGGAGCACTGAGACCGTGTCCGTCGTGGTTGATGGTTGAGTACCGCTTGAGCTTCTCCGAGGTTTGGTGAGCGTCTATCACGAGGTCTTCGCGGATGTCGTCTAGGACGTGCGAGACTCGACTGAGCAGTTTGGGGGATCCCCTGTGGATGGAGGGTTCTCGCTGCTCCAGGCCGTAGATTTGTACCGGGGTGGCGTCGGTTTCTTGGTCCATGGGGGACGAGTAGAAGCGAGGGTACTTCACAGTCATTGGGGTTCGGCGGGAGTTCAATGAAAAAGTGGATGTCGGCGGATGTTGGTATGGAGAGAGATGCGGCTCGGAGGAGACGCTGGAAGTATAGGAACTGTTTGTAGACGGTAACAACATGGCTGCAGAAGGCTGTGATGTTGCAGGAAGAGGGAAATAAGAGGAAGAGGGAAAATGCGAGCAAAAAGGGTATTCAGATGGAATTCTGAAAAAGACCGAAAGTGGATCAGAGAGACATCAACATTTTAGTTCGGTAACACTTAGATGACTTGTAATTTTTGTTTTGTTTTTATATTATTAGGCTGAATATGAGTTTTGAGTAAGTCTTGACTAGGTTTTAACTAGGCCGTGCCTAGGAGTAGTATTTTCTCATACAACTATATGAAGTATACTGTGTTGTATACTGTGTTGTATAAACAGTACAATAGGTTGTCCATCCATGTGGGAAAAAACCGCCGTGGGGTGATCAGATCATGTCTCAAAGATCTGGCAACACGTTGTCTTCGATCCCAATCTGACGCGGCTGACCAAAGCCACGATATTCGTAAGACTGTGTGCAACGGACATTCTTCAGGTCGTTGCGTGAAGTATCCCATTCCAACACGTCGCTCATACGCAACAAAAGCGAAAAATAGCGAGTTGCGACATTTCCCAAGGGGCAGAGCCAGTGCGTCCGCGGTTCCCACCGGGAACTGGGGATTGCGGGCTTGTGATTGGTCCGATCCCCGCTCAGGGATGGCGCCATGGTTCTATACTTTTTTATAGAAACGCTTGAACCTTGACGTGAGACACATCAGGCATCAGACATTGGGATAGGTCATTTACTGTTAGATATAGGGAAGGGTTGGGAAGAATAGTTACAATATATATTCTATAGGCATGTTATTCGGTTGTGAAAAGAAAAATACTTTCCCATTGAGTTTGCAGATCCACCGAGCTGAGGCACAGGAGAGAGAACCACAGCCACAAACGAGCCCACACGTTTGGGAGATGTGGGCGCACCGTATTCCGTGCTATTATTGCACTATATTATACTCCGTACAATACATCTAGTATATATTTTCCATTCTTTTCTACGCTATCAGGTAGTACATATTATCTACAATACTACACAATATTCCAAGGTTACAGGCTCTTCCCCGCACCGGAACTCGGGAGTCGGAAGTCTCAGCTGATTCATTTGCTACATGTCGATCATGTCTGTCATAACAGCTCGGATGAAAAATCCCCGGTTACATCACAAATCGAAGGTTGGGGTCTGTCGATCTCCAGTCAGCCAGGGGCGCGGGTCACACCGCTGAAAAATAACTTACCAAGGGGATGGCTGCAGCTGAGTTGCGGCTTCTGCGAGTATTTTCCCTCGAGCTCATTTCGAATCGTGTTCAGCAGCTGCAGGTAACTCTGCTGTGGCCACTGCTCTAGTGATTTTATAAACGCCCAACTCAATGCACCACGCGCCTGTCCGTCCTGGAATGTATCGGCCCTGTTTCGAGGTTAGTTTGGATTCTTATCTGCCTTAATTTTAATTTTAAAACGCCACCTACGAGGTCTGTGTGTCCTTGGACCCTGAAAACATCACAACGTCGGCTGGAGAGGTCTTGGTCGTGATGGTGCGCTCACGGGCCGATTCGCCGATGACTGCCTTTTTGATGAACCCGATGGCGGTGGAGGCGACGCCGGAGAAATCGCCCTGTCCATACGAAGTGAATGCACTGAACAAGTCCTGGGCGGCCTCCTTGGCCAGATTGGGCTCCTTGAGAACACCCTGCGTCGAGTAGACGTACGGCAGATCCAATGCAGTGCCCGAGTGGCATGAATCGAAGATCGCCGTCAATCGCACACCAGGCCGCAGTGGACGCACCATAATGGCATGCATGTCATCGTCCACAATGTGGCCAGCGACGCGGTAGTCCAGTGGGTAGATGACATCGTCGAATCCATCGTCCTCATCTCCGTCCAGATCGGGAGTACGACCTCCGTGGCCCGAGAAGTGGATGAACAATGAATCGTTAGGCTGGGCGTCCTTGACGAGCCACTGCATGGCGCGTATCATGTTCGCCTTGGTGGGGATGCTCATCGGATTCCGCTGGTCGTCGGTGAGAATGACCATGTCCTCACGCTTGTACCCGTACCTCCGAGTCAGGAAGTTGGACATGTTAGCGACATCGTTGATACAGCCTTTTAAGGCATTGGGCTGCCCTGCATAGTTGATTCCGATCAACAAAGCCCGGCGGCGACCGGTACAATCCGAGTACTGGAACCTGTAGTTTGAGGGAGCACCTCCACCGAATTGCTGAGAATTATGGGGTGGGGTTGGGGGCAGATTCGGAGAGTGTGGACGAGGATATCCTGTCAACGGTTAGTGATGCCGCCAAGGGTTCTTGGCATAGAAGTTTACCATTCTGCGGGGCACTCAGAGTGTGCTGGTGTGAGGGAGGACGAGGAGGTGGGGTGGGGCCGTATGGCGGGGATTGAGGAGGGTACTGGGGATACTGAGGATATTGAGGCTGAGGATACTGAGGCTGCGGATACTGAGGTTGAGATTGAGGATAAGCTGATGGGTAGGGGGAATGACCAGGACCCGAATAAGACGATTGGGGTCGATGACCGTAGGGCTGAGGAGGATACGGCCGAGGCGGAAGCTGCTGCCATTGGGGAGGTTGTTGATATCCTCCCCATGGGGGAGGCCCTTGTCCTCGAGGTGGACCCCTCGGTGGATAATTCATCTCTTCAAAGATGCGACCTATAATCTCCTGATGGAAGAGAGGAAAAGAAAGACGAAGAAGTTGAACAGTTTAAAAGCAATTCGGCTGGCCGGGTGGGTCACGCACACGCAGATGGGACCTTTCACTTTCCCATTGGGACAAGTGTTGGTGCCCCGGGCAATTCATGTACGGACTATACAAAGGACACTCCTTGGAGATTGGTAGATATGGGATCCACCGGTAGGGCTGCAGGTAAATGACTTTAATTCGCTTGGATGACTCCAGTAATGGCCCTCCTCGCTAGTAATGCGTACCATGCGTTGTAATCTAATATGTAATCATGAAACAAAGCTTGTGCACAAGCCTCAGGCTGTAAGTTAGGCAGCGACTTTTCGGCCATCATGTGACTATGCATGTCGTCACCTGATTCCGACATCAATAAGAAACCTTAGGAGTAGAAGTAGTTGGAAGTAGTAAGAGATATGGGGTAGAGGCCCAAGAATAGACCGGGGCAACTTAGCATGCATAATGCGTACGTGAGACTAGTTTTGCCCCCAAGTGGCTTGCGAGAGACGTCTTCAATGGGGCGCTGTACAATTACATAACTAGATGATGCAGAATGCGCCAAGTTACAGTACCTTGAAACACTTACGGAGTATACGGAGTCCATCCATGGATATTACCAGGGCGCTTTATTCACGGGGGTCACATGTACCGGAGATCCGATAGGACCAAGGACTGAAGATTCTTGGCTACCTGCGAGCCCCACCTAACCCGTGTTACGAGAGATCCGGCACATGTTTAGTCCTAATGGAGACGGATGAGCCGCATTCTTTCGGAGATGTTAGTCGTAATCCGAAAACAAAAACAGAGCCTCAAGGATCCGATCCCCTGCCAAATTACGTGCTCCGTGATCCGGGGATGTCTGCTTTTGCTTTCTTACTGTAAAAGCCATGGCGATAAGTTTTTCGAGGAAGGCTCCAAGGTTACAATTGGTTTGTCAATCCATTTTTGGTCTAGTTGAGGCTCTTTCAGCTTCCAAGGTTTTGTACGAAGGGGTTCCATGGTTTTCATGTGGGCCTGTTCTTTCCTGTTTAGGACATTCACGACTTGAGCCTCTCACCTCCTCTTTCCTCCTATCTTCTTTCTCTCTAACATAAATCTCGTTCTTTCCTTATGACCTTCGATATGGACTTTGTTTTATTTTTCCTTTCCTATGGCAGCCGCCCTTCTGTCTGAGACACTCCCTTGAGACTATTTAAATCAACAGACTATTTAGCTAACTTATAGCCATGAGTCTGGACACTCTTTCATATGATGTGTTCTACCAGATCGCAACGTTGCTGGACGACTGTGATTTTATAAATCTCAGTCGCACCAGCCGTGCCCTATATTATCTGTCGCGAAGTGAACAGATCGCCCGCAAAACCGTCGAAGTAAGCAAAGCCAGCCCCTCGCTTGAATTACAAGGCTGATCCCGGCTTACAGAATGTTTTCCGCTACAGCAAAGAAGGTCAGGCTGCCCTCGCGGCCCAGTCCGGTTTTCGCCAGGCTGTTGGGCATCGGCTTGCGATCCACGAGGCTGTGGCCACGGCAAATCCGTACTCGGTCGTCTGTGTAGGCTATGGGTCCGAGTTTCTCTACAACCAAGGCCACTTATGTTACCGTTCTGACCATTGGATTCGTCTGCTGTATGTACATGGTACGGTATTCAGGGAGCGTGTCATGGACCTCCGTGATGCGATCCCTCGGCTGCTAGAAACCGGTCCCGTGGAGCCGGGTGCAGAAGACCGGGTTACGCTATTGAGCTACAGCGATGACATTCTCATTTTCCGAGTGGCCGATGCGAGCGCGACCGAGGACGCATTGCTCGTGGTCAACATGGCGTGGCGCGAATACCACCAGGGACGGAGCCGGTTCCTACTCCATGAGCCAATCCCAGCATCCGCACCTGTTTTTGTGCGACACTGCGGAACCTACATCTGGTATGGCATATTTATGGCCGGGGATGATTCCGCGGATGGTGCATGGTCTATCACTGGTGTGGATCTCGAATCGTATGAAGGTATCAACTTCGAACTCGACCGAGTGGTCGCTGGCGATCTTGGCCAAACACTGTGTTTTGAGATGCATGGTGAATATCTTTATGCAGTTTCGACGCAGGATGCCGCAGACGATGATGTGCACTCCTCTTTCTACTATTGGTTCTGCCAAGCCCCTCGCGATGAATACCGCAGATGGAAAGGTCGCCTGTGGCGCCGAGAGCATCAAGAAGGCCCGATCAATGAGATGTGGACTGATCTTTCAATCCGTACGGATGAGAGGACTGGCCGCCCAGTCATACTTGAATGTCGCCGTGAGTGGCGTGATGGCAAGAGTGAAAACCACCGTACATACTACACACAGCCACTTCCCACACCAGAAGAAGCTCTAGCGCCTCTTGTGGAAGGCGCCACGCAAAGTCCATGCTGGGTATCTATGGATGCAGAGCACCCCTACGATGACCGACCTGCGAAGAGGTTGCGGCGGCATTACCATGCCGAGTATGAGTCTGGCTCTACCAAGCGGCAGGAGTTCATCGCAGCTCGCACCAAACACAAGAGTTACCATCTCGGTGCATCCAGCTTTGTGGACATTGTTAATGACCCTGTCGGTGGTAATCTGCGGTCTCGAGATCGGATCCGGTTGCGTACGGTGTCGCGCAAGCGCAAATGTCCTATTGACGAGGAGGGAATTGAGGGACCTCGCAACCAACTGTTCCAGCCCACCCAGGTGGACCAAGATGGCTGTCCTGTTGAAGGTTCCGAGGAACGCTTTGAATGCCGTGGCGTGTACATGTGGCCTCCAGAAGACGCCCCGCCTGCATTACAGCAATTGCTTTGTCCAGGCCCGCGTACTGGATCTGTGAAAAGTATTGCAGACGACCGCTCGATTATATACTCGATTGACGCCCCGGGTCTTCCCCCTAATCAACAAGCTCTTGTCCTCATTAGCTTTGATCCTAACTTTCAACTTCCTATTACTACGCCTCTTCCTACTGCTACCTCTCCCGCAGATCACTGGGCTCCCCGAGAACTGTTCCCACAGACGCTGAGGCCACCGCCTCCATATTTTCCGTCGCGCAATTTGGTGGAAGAGGCACCACCGTTCTTCCTGGGTATCAGACGCGGGTACTACCTACGTGGGATAAGGGATCAATATTGGAAGGGGCTTGTTCCATAATTCAACCGGTCAGGTATGATTATCTGTACAAGACGATAGGTCATTACCCACAGTCAATATTAACACAAAATCAAGTTAAAATTCAAATCAGCACAGAGTAAACTTAGTATACGAGGTGGTCAGCACTGAACAAGACGATAACTCGGTCAACTCGGGTATCCAGGACGCCTTGGGCAGCAAATATCGTTTATGATTTATCATCGAACATGACTGACAGTCAATTGGGCCCTGGGTCCGGAAACACGGCCATAGATGCATATGTGCTCCATTCTATAAGATTTCCAGAACTGGACTCTCGTCTGAGGTTGACGTCCATTACTCAAATATCCATTCAATCCAGCAACTCAAAGACATGCAGCTGTTGGGATAAGTCAACTGGCCACTTGCTAAGTGCTTTTGTCAAGCTGACGGCCCATTGCAGTGAAGCAATATGCAAGTTACAAACCACACAAGGACCAGATCTATTTATATCGTCATTTGATTTATAATATATGTATTATCATCTGCACCGACCCGAGCCCCGACAGGCAGCCATGTATACAGAAAATACACTAGACCGATGCACTGCCACAGGAATGGAGTCGACAGGTAAAACAAGATCATTAAGACCCATCTTTATGTCTCAAGATAGAAAGACAACAACACACTCCCACAACGCCATCCGAAAAGAGAGACCACTGCCACAACCCAAAGGGGAATCAAGTATCATATAGGCATCAGCAAACAACGCGCAATCGTGTATGTTGTACACAGAACTCAGAACAGGAGACGGAGACCCTTTCGACAAAAAAACGGAAATTAAATACCGAAAAGAGAAATAAAGAAAAAATAGGAAAAATTCAAATGAAATAGGATCGGCATCTCACAGCTTCTTGTACATCCCAGCCAGCGAGTTGATGATTAGATCCCGTTTAACCGGGTGTGCGTTACGGAACATATCGCGCACAGCAACGCTCGTCTTCATCTTAGAGGCGAGCTCGGAGATATCGCTGTCACCATTGCTGCTCGTGAGGTTGCCCAGCAAGTTACTTGTGTCGCCCGCTGAGCTGAGAATGTCGGTGAGGCTTTCATTGCCGCTAAGCAGATTCTGAACAGTATTCTTAACAAGATCGGCGATTGGCACGTTGGCCGTCAGCGTTAGCTGCTTCATCACATTGGTGTAATATGGCACCAGCGTGCCGTTCCAGGTGACGGTTCGGGTTACTGTATCCAAGGATAAGTTTCCGGTTGTTAGGGCTTTTGTCTGCGACGCGAGTATCTCTCCGAGGTGCTCGATCATTGTGTGTATGTCGAGGATTCCGGTTAGAGGGAAGACGTTGTCGCCTGGTTTGATAGTAACGTCTTTGACGGTGGCGTTTCCAATGACGAGGTCGCCGCTTTTCACGTCGAGGACGAGCGTGCCAATATCGAGAGTCAATACGGACGGGTTGGGGAGTGAGACATTCCCGATTAGGTTTGTGCCGTCTTCGCGGGCTGGAACGAGTCCACTGTTGGAGATACTGAATCCCTTGAATTGGTCCAGCACTAATGAAGTTAGTTTCACTTCTAGGATGATTTGTTTTTCTTCGCTTACCTGGCGACATGATATTCTTGTCCATAGTGACCTTGGACTTGAGCACACCCAAGTATGAATTGGTTACGCCCCTGACTGACAGCGCAGTCTCTTTCTCAAACACGACATTGTGCACGTACTCCTCCCAGGTGGTCAAGTTGGTCAGTGGCGTCTGGACCTTGGTCACGCCTAGCGTGGTGTTGCCTTTGACGACTTTGCCGTCGATATCAGCCTGGCCCCAGGCATTCTCTGCGCCGGTATCACGCACGAACAGCTCTAACGTGATCGGGTCAATGCGCACTGGCAGTGCAATTTTGAGGTCCAATGCCGACAACAGCGTCAATTGGATCTTGTCCGGTCGTGGGTTTAACACTGCGGCATTGACCAATACTAGGTCGGACTTGTTGACGATCATTTGTGAGATGGCTGGAATGGCAACCAGGAAGCTGGTTGCAATTAGTATTTGTTTGCAGTTCGGAGGACATACGACTCACAAGACAGGCAGGAAAATCGCCAGGAAGATGACAGTCACTAAAAGATGCAGACACCAGAATCGCTTCCAATGGCGTTGGAACTTCTCAGTGCGCTTCAGCTTCCTCGTCTCTAATGACAGACCCCCGGCCGACTCGACATGTGCGAGCTGGGTGCCTTCATCGCCCTTGGATATCAACGGGCCACGATGAATACCCAGAGTGTATTTGGCATCATCTAAAGTCAGATATGCTGGTGTATCTGTATTTTTACCCATGATTGCACAATTTCAATTGACCTTGGAAGGGGAGGATTCCGCGTATATGTATTTTAGCGCAAAGCACCCCCGGACTTCTTCTTCTCTCCATGCACCGGTGGGACCCCGTGGGTAAGAAAAAAAAAAACAAAAGACAAAAAGGAACAAAGCGGGCTTCTCGTCGGAGCAGGATTGCTTTCTTTGGTGAATAACGCAGAAGAGGGGAGGGATCAGCGCTTCAGGAGATGGCGATCTGCTGCCAGCCGCGGCTTATTCTAAGAAAGACGACACTATTCACATGGGCCGAGATGATCAACGCTTTAGTCGCTGGTGCGTTTTCGGGGTTTTGCGGGGGATTTCTGGGGAAGCATTGGAAGATTTCGATATTAATGGGATCATATACTCACAGATAGCTTCATTGACAACTGTCGACAACTCTCTAACCATGTCTTTCCCTACACCTCCCGTCTCCCTAGTGGATGAGAAACCCCAAGACCACCCACGTGGCTCCGATGCGACCGCAAGCAATACTACCAACATCTCAGCCCGTCTCCAAGCCCTGGAACAGCTAGAAGTCCTCCCAAAAATGCTGCAGGAGGGCATCCTCTTCGCGGGATCCGGTGCGACGCTACTACTACAAGCTGCCATGCCGGGCATCCGCGACGCAGGCGCCAACCACGGCGACCACAAAGAGCTAGCCACAGAGCTCATTGACGCTCTCCAAGCCAATATCAGCTACATCTCCTGTCTGGTCTTCGGCACCCGCGACGAGCGCAAAGTCCTCATCGACCTCCTGCAGGATGGTAAGCCGCCCCTGCTAGGCGGCCACTCGAATCGATTCGCTGAGCACCCGCCGCTGCAGCTGTGGATGGCGGCGACGCTGTACGCGACTGCGACCGATTTCTACCAGCGTGTCTACGGCCGCGTGGACTACGCCAGTGCCCAGCGCGCATATGGCGAGTATACCTTGCTCATGGACTGTCTGGGTGTTCCCTCCGGTACGTGGCCGGAATCCCGGCAGGAGTTCTGGTCTTACTGGGATGATCAGGTCCATCGGTTGACTGTCTCGTCGGATGCGGCTCAGTTTGCTAAGGATCTTCGTGAGAGTCATGATATGCCGCGCTGGGTGCAGTCTTTGAAGCCTTTTTTGCATGTCATTACTGTTGAGATGCTGCCTCCGAGTCTGCGTGATGCCTACGGTCTGCGCTCGACGGTTAAGACTCGGGCTCTTTATCGTACTTGGATGGGATTCTCGGTCGCTCTTTATCCGGCCATGCCTGATAAATGGCGGGCATACCCTTTGAGATTCTACCAGGATCGGCTCAAGGAGAAAATGAATAGGAAGGAGGGTTGAGTGTGATTCTGTGTTTTAGTCTAATATTTTTCTGTATATACCCGATCGTTATGAAAGACATGATTGTTTTGTGTATTTTGAAGGTTTCAATTGAATTTCCATTTACATACACCCATTCAAGAGATGCTATAACTGCAATAAAAAGATAACTAAAGTGATTATCATGATTCATTCCTTTTATCAACCCTCACAGTGATCCTAGCACACCACCCAGAAGCTTAGAAATATCCTCAACCAGCTATAGTGCGTTAGTACACAGCAAAAATCAAAAGCAAAAAACAGCAGTGCATACCGGTGTAGCATCCCCGATGAGTGTAGTTGTGTTATCGACAAAGCTCTTGGTCAACAAGCTGTGGGCGTTCGTCAAGATATCCTGCAAGATATCGATATTATCGGCAGCGAGCAACTTGGCCGCACCATCGAGGATGGTATCCAGCTTGTTGATGTTATCGGTGCTCAGCAGGCTCTGGGCGCCGCTCAGAAGCTCAGGCAGCTCCTCTAGTAGACCACCAGTGGCGGCCGGGGCTGGCGCAGCGACAGGGTTGGGACGAGGCTCGGGGGCAGCTAGAGCCAAGGGGGCCAAGGCCAAAGGGAACAGGATCCGAGAGAAACGCATTTTGTTATTATATTGAAGTGAGGATTGAGCAGAGAAGAAGAGGCAAATACATCCAGTGTCTTATAGGAGGCTGGTCTGTTTTCTGTAGATGTAACTCTCATTAGCGTAATTTGTGGAAATTGTCCGAGGCCGCTAATAGTGACATGATCTAGATGTTAAATGAGGCCGAGGGATAAGCAATGCCATGTGAGAGACATGGAGGGAATGGCGAATGGAGAAGAAGAGAATCCAATACGAGCATTTCCCCGCAAGTCTCTTCTCCCCTCAGGATGTCGCCTTTTAGTGGAAGATCGTCGAGTTGATCCCTTTTTTGCCCTTTTTTGGGGTTAGCGACATTTGCTTGTCTCACAATGCCTGCCCTGAACCTCGGAGGAGAGGTTCGGTTTAGTAGTGATCGGCAAAGGCTGTCTCTTTGGGCTACAAAAGAACCCTGCATATACTTTATACCATGATGCCATTTGCATACTTCTATATTAAATTCAATCTATAAGAAAAGGGACGGCATGTGCTTAATGTAACGATCTTGAGCTCCACCATACGTGCATTGTATAGAAAAGATAAGCGAAAAGGAAATAATTATACTCGAATTCACGTGTAAACGGAACCAATCTTTTGAATTTCGGAAAACATCTCTCATCACAATCGTATTTACTCCGTAAAAAGTACGCAATTCGTGTAGATCCTTCCATCACAGAGCTAGTGCCAGTCCAAACACACCCAGCGCCCCCAACGCCGACACGGTCAGGCCCGTGGGCTGTGCAGCGGCACCCTTCGACGAAGTCGAGCTTGCCAATCCTCCAGTAGTGGCACCGGTCGCAGAGGCTGTTGCTGTAACAGTCGCTGCAGTCCCTGTATTTGCCACAGCGTTGATTTCAGACGTTGTGGCTGTCAATGCCCCCGCCGAGATCTGCGACTTGACCACCGACATGTAGCTTTGCACATCCGATGGGAGAGCGCTGTACCAGGCTGGGGTAGTGCCGGCCTTGAATTGGCTGGCGAGGGAACTGCGCTCTGCTGGGTTGATGAGTTCCCAGATGACGGATACGGGCACGACTGATAGGATCTCGGGGATGAGCGACTTGGGCGGCGGCGAGATGTTGGCGAAATTCGCGCTGGCTGTTTGATTGGCCATTAGATTCTCACTGTGGGATTGTTAGTGGGTTGAAAGATATTCAGGGAAAGAGTCACATACAGTGCGCTCGTGATTGCACTAAGGTTGATGCCGTTATTTGTGGTATCTCGTCGGTGGTGGTGTTGAGCACCCCAGGCTGTTGCGGCAAAGAGGAAAGCTGTCGTGAATTTCATTTTGTCAAGTGCAGAGAAGAAAGAGACAAAAGGTATACAGTCTAGGTACTCAGATGGGGCAGAGTCTGTATATCAAATGCTTAACCTGCTTGGCTAAGATCTCTCCGCATTAGTCTACAGTGGCATGCAATATACAATTAGTCCCCAAATAGCTTGCCAATTTAATTTGTAAAATTCCGAGTTTCTAGATCTTCTCCAACCTCGGAATCAGATGCCACTCGGGAAATTATTTCTTTGCGGGGAAATGCAGGGGATGTCGATGTAGCATTGCATAGAGGGGCTGGATGATCTGCGGTCGATCCATGTAGAATTCACATGTATCGAGACCTGTGCCTTAATTACCATAGCTCAAATAGAGAAAGAGGAAGAGTTCTAAGGTAAAGCGTGCTGTAGTTAGGTGATGGCGTTATAAAACTTGACTCACTGCATATGTATCATACACTGTTACAAGCAGAGAAGTAAAATAAAAACATGGCATCAATTGGATATCATATCGTAGAAATCGTGATAATAAAACAGGCCTGACCAAAGAAAGATAATGAAACAAGCGACCAAAGAAAAACCCAAACTCAAGATCTCATCTCAAGTCAAGCCTAAGCAGCATTCTTCTTAATCATATCAGCCTCAGCACTGAGCTGATGGGCCTTTCCCTCGTCATGCAAGTCACGGTACTTATCCTCCTCGGAGCGGTTACCAGTGACAGCAGCACCAATGGATCCAATAGCACCCTGAGCGCGGTTCTCAATGCCCTCGCCCCAGTTCTGGAGCTGGCTCTTGGCTTCCTGCTCCTTTCCGGCGGCGTTCTGCTCGGCTCCGGTGCGGCGCAGGGTCTGGTTGCCGATCAGGTTGCCGACGGACTCCTTGGCGGAGCCGATGGTCTGGTCCCAGGATCCGTTGTCACGCTTGGCTTCGTGCTTGTGTTCGTCGGTCTGAGGTGGGGTTAGTTGTTGTAGACCGTGGGATGATGTTGGGATTAAAGTGGGTTGCTTACCTGAGTGGAGGTGTTGGTGCCAGTCACGGTTCCGATGGCGCGCTGCGCAAGATCGGAGGCTTGCTCAAGGTACGACTCATTGGTCGAGGCGTTGCCAGTGTTGTTAGTCATGATGATGGTTGGTAGTAGTGGTAGTGGTAGTGAAGATATGAGAGATGTTTGAGGATTGAAGTGGTTGATGAATTAGTTACTGAGAGTCGTGGCAGGAAGGCCACTTATATACACAAGGCACTTTGTTATCAAGCCACATGTTCCAGGGCATTCTCCAATGGGCCAATGTGGTCTTCCAAGATTGAAGTTCTACAAAGTCCACCATTATCGTGATGAACTACGTCATTGGATGATGTCACGTCACGTGAATATCAGGTATACGCGCGTGCATGACGAGTTTTGTTCAGGCCAGGGACAAGCGTCATTACATCAATGTTGATGAATGTTGATGATTAGTACAGGGGTATCGAAAGATAATTTCTATAGTGTGGTCTATGGGTACAAGTATATAGTCCATACAAAAAATGCATTAATCTTCTCACATCTAGGTGGAGTATTTCGTATAGCATAGTAATAACTATAAGTTCATGCAAGTTCCCAAACACCAGTCGCCGCGTACGGCATAAATCCCATGCAATGCCACGCTCGAAGGAAGACTAAACGCAAACGTGAAACTAGTTATACGACTACCAGTGACAAATTCCACCCTCGTTTTCCTCAGCTGTCCATGTGCCACAGAGACCGACAACCTCCAGATGACCATCCGCATGCTCGCCAACCTTGCTCAGCGCAGCAAATTTCTTATCGGCAGGGCCATTGCTTAGCAATCGTCGTGCCCAGGCATCAATGGCAGGCTCTCCAGTCTCGTCTCGAGCCTGCTTGAGGAACGGAATGAGCGCCGTGCCACCAGTACCGCGCAGCTTCCTCTTGTCGGTCGGAGCCGCGCTTGCAAGATTCGTCGCTGCTGGGTGGTTTGAGTTTGCAGGCTGACGTGAGCTGCGGGACTGCAGGATGATATAGCGTGACACCATGGTGATATGTTTATCACGTAGCACGCGCAACATGGCTAGACAGGCATCGTAGGCAATGCACAGCGCCGAGTCTCCGCGTCGCGCCTCGACAAAGGAGCGGATGTTCGCTACCGAGTCGACATGCTCAAGGAAGCGCCGGTGGGGGCCAGGCATGTAGGTGCGCATGTCGTGGATGAAGCTGTTTCGGGATTTGGTGCTGGCTTCGGTGTTTTGCTCACTGTCGCTACGACTTGTACCGGTGGGTCGGTGTTCCACTCCGAGGACAATGTCGAAGAATTGGATGAGCGAGCTTTGGGCGTTGCTGCCTCCTCCGTATTGCCGGTACTGGGGATTGTGGCCGTCGTCGTACAGCAGCCCATTTGGCAATCCGGCATCACACATGTTTTTACTTCCGGCTAGGTAAGGACGAATGCGGTTGTAGAAGACATATGGATCGCAGTTCTCGTACATCCTCTGCAACAGTGTGTTGGTCTCATCGATGGTTTCCGCTAGTATCTGCAGGCACTCGGTTACAGTCTGGGTGTTTCCTGTGCGGGCCGCCGTGATGGCCCGAATCATCAGGGGAATAGAAGGGCCCCCACGTGCTTCTATGGCGACTGACACTAGGTAGAACCATTGCTCATCTAGAGATCCGGTGAAGGTTTGTAGACATGCTAGGTTATCCAGGCTGGTGGCTGGCTCATCGGAGAATATCGGCTTGTAGTTCCAAAGGCAGACTCCAGCATATGTTGCAACGGGGGGTAATTCGAGTCGTTCACAGACTTCAAATAAGGGCACTGTAAGTTGAGGTGGAATCCTCTTTTAAAGAATCAGTACATCTACTTTTTAAACCAATAGGATGGGCCGGTACCTCTGTGGGTGAATCGCCACCCCAGACATAGCCGTGCAGAATGAACGCCAGTATCACATATGCACGACGCCACTCAGCCTCCGTCTGCAGGTGTGTAGCCGAAAGTATAGGCAGAGTGTCCACGACCGAATGCAGCCGTTTGCTCAATATCAATGGGTGGAGATTCCCAATTATCATCTCCCATTCGGCGTAATAAGGATCGGGGAGCACCTCTAAAGGAAGTTCTGCGGAAAGGAAACCATAATCGGCAGTGATTCCATAATCGGCAGGATTTGGCACCGGAGACAACATAGTCTCACGAATTACCACAGATATTCAAGGATTCAAGGATTTCAAGGTATATAATTGTAATAAATGCAAGAATAGGAGTTGAGAGATTGAGAAGTTGAAAACGGAACAAAAGGATTATATGGGGTTATACCAGAAAATCAGACCAGAGAGACCGGGAATAATCCGGAGCCAAATGTATGACTTGGTTTCCCCAGGTTGGATGTCTGCGGATGATGACGGAAGAGAAGGAGAATAATATTTGGATTGTACCAACGTCGCATGAATAAAATGGCACGATCTGGGCTAAATAGTCAGAGTTTTCGCGGGCAGTTCAGCACGTAATTTCACCGGGGATCCCTGGATGGGTAAGACCGTAAGACCATTTCTAATCATTCCGTTAACTAGTCGTTAACTAAGAGCAATAGGATAAAAGGGACGAGAATAATAAAGTTGCAAAGGCTCCGACATAGGAGGGAAAGTGACTCTTTTTAGAGGACCTCGGGGAAGTTTTAGAGGAGTCGAGCAGGGCGATCCGGTCGATCAGGGAGAGAGACCAGGTACATTTTATATGGCTATACAATCAAATGATAGCACGCCAAGAGGGACTGGGTGCATCCGCGAGACCCAAGTGGAGTGCAAATTAAGCGAAGGCGAAACTGAGTGCCAGGCAAAGGGCCTAAACCGGCCAAGACACGGCCGACAGGGCCATTTGGGGTATTTTCGCCCTTTTCGCTTATTTTGGCTTCGAATTCGCTTCACTCAGGATCGCCAACCTTGATCTGAAGGATGCATAGCCGGGGATTTAGATCGAACCTCATGCTACTTTTGTATTTGGGCATATTTGATCCTTCTTTTTCTTTTCTTTCCTACCCATAATAAATGTCCATATTCATAAATAAACGGAATATATGCCTGATGCATAAGGCATCACTGATTAATAATAAGTCTGGCCGAGGTCCGAGGTATACATCATAGGCCTCAAGGTACGTACGTATACGGGGTAGACTCATATCCATGCAAGGCTCGGTAAATATCATGGAACACATTTCAAACGAGTCTGGAAATATTTAGCTCTCCCATTGTAGCACAATATAACTCCGCCAAACTTACAGCTCAGATCGAGCGACTTCACAAGAGGTATCCCAGGAACTCCCAGTAAATACTGCCTGAACAGTGTTATCCAGAGCGAGGCTGATCAAGGTTGGCTCTATCCCATGATCAGCTTCAAATCGCAAACAAGAGAACATCAATCTACCATCAAAGCTGAACTCTGGCCGTCCATATTTGCTCAGTCCCGTACGAGGATCCTTGGCAAATGCAACCCAAGCCCCTAGAAATTCGTCAATCCACGCAATGCCTGACACTAACCTTGTAATGGATTACCTTGCATGGTTTGGCTGACTTCAACTTCCCTGGCCGACGAAGGAATCATAGACATGTTATAGTTCCCAAAAACCAAAGGTATCTCAGCTGTCATCATGCTGTTAATCAAACCAGCAAGCAAATAGCTGCTTTCTTCTTACCCCCGTGATATGCTCCAAGCCATGGAGTTGGGCTGAGATTGGTAAAATATCCATGGTATAGATACCTCCAAGTGGGCACCTGCCGATTCACTCGAATCCTCACAGATTCCCGGAGGGGACAGTTAAAACTCATTTGACCAAGCATGTAGATTACTCTCTCATCAACTGCTGTTTGACTTAACGGTACTAGGGCTGTATATTCACGCTCGGTAATCCCTGCCAATGTTGGCTAGGATTCCAAATATGGTTAACCCAGGAAAATACACATATACATACCAATCGCGCTAATTTGCCCACCTTAGCTCTAGCGGCATAGTCGGAAAAGACGAGAATATTATCTTCAATGGGATAAAATTTATAGCTTCCCCGGGCTCTTGTTCGATGATCTCCATAGTTGGGACCTTTCTCATACATTGGAAAGATTCGACTCCTATGCCGCATCCAACCGCAGTAGACGGTTCATTCCAGTTTCGATGATCAGGGGCCGAAACCAGTAACGGAGCGGTACCGGAATGAAGAGCAAGTGCACTAACGAGCGGATTTTCAGGGTACTATCAGAGGTTATTCATATATGAAAACACCAATATAGAAACGACGTGCTCACTGCATATGAATGGATATCAACCGAAGCAGCCCCAGCAGACTGACCAAACAGAAGAATCCTATCTAGATCACCACCGAATTCGGCTATATTTTCATAAACCCACTCAATTGCCAATCGCTAAGTACATGGTCAGTTCATTCATACTCTCTTAACCATACATTTTCAAGATCAAGATCTACCTGGTCCAGAAGTCCAAGGTTCTGTTCGGAAGGGTCGATGCCTGGTGCATTCGGAAACCCAAAAACATTGAGTCGATAACTAGCCAGAGTTTAGTAAATCTAATAGCCAAAACCCAGCATCTCCTTACTTAAAAGTAACAACAATCAGATCGTCGTGATTCCGTACCAAATTCGTGCCATCGTAGTAGGCAACCGAACTAGCACCAGTATCACAGCTCCCTCCATGAATGAATATCATGACTGCAGCTTTTTGAAGTCCCCTGTAGCCTCGATGCTTGACAGAAGGTGCCCAGATATTCATATACAAACAGTCTTCAGACATATCGCCAGAGTTCCATATCTTATACGGAAGAACGCTCCAAATAGACTCATTGGAGTACGTATGCACCTGTAGACAGGGACTGCCGAAGGAGGATGCATCGATGGGGCTTGGGGGTGGTGGTGCCCATCGCAGTTCTTGGATTGGGGGTTCGGCATATGGAATTCCGAGAAACGCCCGTACTTTGTGTGCGGAATCGTTATATATCCCGTTCAAAGAGCCGGAAGAGGTCGCCACTTGAAGCTCGGGGGATCGCTGACGAGCCACAGCGGCTACATTACTCCCAAATGTGCAAAGGATGAGGAATAGATGCATTGCGTGTGTAGCTCTTTCCTGTCTAAATTGTGTATTTTCTCACGGCTATCTTGAAAGGAAGCAATCAAGTGCAACCTATGAATTGACTCTCGGTAGATAAATTTAACTTCTTTGCCAAAGAGTAGACAGCCTTCAGACTACGGTGGGTTTTGGGCCGAGAGAAAATTTGAAATTAACTAAACGCTGTTTAGCTTAAAGACTGATCATACAAGGCATAGGTCTTACTCGAGTGATATCCATGACCTCGGGGAAAAGCCCTGGAGGCAATGCAGGTGACGTACAAGGCAGGGGCTTAGAGGGAAGGTAGAGAGTAGTTAATTGCGTGGTGATTATTTCCAGTCTGTACAAATCCGATGTTGTTACACTTCAACGCCGTCCCTAATGGGCTTTTGCTCTCAAAATAAAATTAATATGATCAATGCTGGCTCCACTCGATCGTGTTCAAATCAACTCCCTCCTGAACCAACTCCCAAAGCGGGCTCAGTTCACGCAAGAAAGATACACGAGCCTGGACAGCCTTGAGAACGTAGTCAATCTCCTCGTCCGAGGTGAATCGACCAATACCGAAACGGATACTGCTGTGCGCACTCTCGTCACTGCTACCCAAAGCGCGCAGCACGTAGCTGGGTTCCAGAGAGGCGGAGGTACAGGCACTGCCCGATGACAGCGCAATGTCGTTCAGCGCCATCAGTAGGGATTCACCCTCAACGTAGGCGAATGAGATGTTCACACAGCCAGGGTAGTGGTGCTCGGGGTCACCGTTCAGTGTGGTGTGTTCCATTGCGAGGAGGCCCTCGCTCAGACGCTTCGACAGGCGATCGATGTGTTTAGTGTCGTACTATTAACCAGTCAGTTAGCATGCTGTTTTCCGACGGGAAAATTAGAGTTCATCTGTCTGCCAGCATTATGCCCGCAACTGACGTCATTGGAGCTGAGTACCGATTACTCAGGGTCACCAACAGGTTTATCACAGTGCGTAATAATGGCGGCAATGATGGAAATGGGAATGGGAAATCAAACAAAATGGGAAAGAGCTTACCTCCATATCTTGGGCAGCAATTCGGCATGCCTCGCCAAAGCCCACGACCAGGGAAGGAGCCAAGGTGCCACTACGTAGACCTCTTTCCTGTCCACCACCAGTGATGAGAGGATCGAGACGGACACGCGGGCGACGGCGCACAAAGCAGGCACCAATACCCTTAGGACCGTAGATCTTGTGGCTGGAAATCGACATCAGATCGATGTTTAGCTTGTTCACATCCAACGGAATCTTTCCAACGGCCTGGGCAGCGTCGGTGTGGAAGAACACCTTCTTGGACCGACAGAGACGGCCAATCTCCTCCATCGGCTGGATCACACCGATCTCATTGTTGACAGCCATGACACTGACAATGCAAGTCTCGGGACGCATGGCCTCTTCAAGATCCGACATGCGGATCAAACCGTTGCTCTGCACTGGCAGGTATGTCACCTCGAACCCTTCATCTTGCAAGTGTCGGCAACTGTCGAGCACACACTTGTGTTCAGTCTGGGTAGTGATGATGTGATTTTTCTTTCCCGAGCGACCAAAGAACCGTGCCACGCCCTTCAAACTCATATTGTTACTCTCCGTCGCACCACTTGTAAAGATAATCTCCTTGGGGTCGGCCCCAATCAGCTTGGCGATATGCTCGCGAGCCTCCTCAACTCCCTTCTCTGACTCCCAACCGTAGGCGTGTGTGCGCGAGTGCGGGTTACCGTAAATACCGGTGAGGTAAGGAAGCATAGCATCCAGAACGCGAGGGTCCAGAGGTGTAGTGGCCTGCATATCGAGGTAGATGGGCCGGGTGCCCTGGTCCATAACGGTGGCTTGCTTCAGAATGCCGGCCGAAGGGCTCAACGCGGCGTCACCGGAGGTTGCCGAGCCAGGCAGCTTGACGCTCTGGGGCGCCATGTGGGACTGGTTCATGAATGCCTTTTGTTCCTCCTTGATGGCAGTCTCGATGTTGATCTGGGCTTGGCCAACTTTTGTTTCGGATACGTAAGAACGAGCACCGCGCAGCCCGGTGGCGAGGACTCGAGGAGCTCGGGAACCATAAGTTGAAAGACGCCTGGAGAAGGCAGAGGCCTGTCTCCAAGCAGTGGGAACAGCACTTGTCATTATGGAGATGATTTGTGCCGATATCCTTGAAGGTGGGATGAAAAGGAAACGCTACGACTTTTTGTTAGTTATCACTTGCATCTCCTCCCAATGACTAAAGATCTCGGGATTTTCCCAATTGAGTTTATCCGTGGTGCCTGAGGCATGACGGAGTTATGAGCTTTCCCCTTTCGGGTATAAGTGTCCAGGGCGTCCATGACTATATCAGATCTTCATTTCTCTGTTTTATAACAGTCTTGAGGATTCTAATTTTATTAGTTTAAAGCCCTCTTTCTTCCGACTTCTTGTATTCACCCATTTCATCTCATTGCCAAGTCACCCCCCGCACGTCCCAAGGGAGAATGGCCCAATGATGACGAACGGACTGGGGTCCTTAATTTGATCTTAGGACATTCTCGGGTAAGGCTGCCGGGGAAAGAGAAACAGTTCTTGAGGTCGTCGAGAGTAGAGATGTAACCACTGTAACCATTCGAGGTGTTTAGGGCTAAAATATGTACGGAGTACTCCGTAACTATACACTATAGAACATGGATAGGAGTTGAAGTACTACTGTATGTAGTATGTAGTATGTAGGTCGTAATCCAGGTGCCTAACCTTAGAAGAAGATATGCGCCACATGATCATAGGGCAGAACAGTAGCGTATAAAATAGTACAAAATAGCGTGGAATAGTATAAAAAGGAAATGGGTACAGCCACACTGGACATCAGCTCCGTACAACGCTGGCCGAGTCTTATGTCATTGAAAAGGTTTGGGTTCCTTCTTCTTCTTCCCCCCACCTTGGCACTTTCTCTTCTTCACTTCTCTCCTTAATATACTCCACATCATGAGTTTTAAAGGCTTCCAGAAGAGTATTGCGCGTGCGCCACAGCAGTTCAAGGTCAAGTTCAACATCGGTGAGCATTCCAAGGATGCTGTCTATACCGATGCCGAACGCCGCTTTGATGAGCTCGAGCGAGAGACCAAGAAGCTCCACGATGAGTCCAAGAAATACTTTTCTGCCATTAATGGTAACTCTTTGATCTCTCCACTCTGTACCTCTCCCTACTGATCGCGTGCGCAGGCATGTTGAGCCACCAAATCGAATTCTCCAAAGCAGTCGCCGAAATCTACAAACCCATCTCCGGTCGCGCCTCTGATCCCACCTCCTACCAATTCGAAGGAAATGCCGAGGGCATCCAGGCCTGTGAGGAATATGAAGTCATCGTCCAGGAACTCCAAGAGGCCCTAGCCCCCGAGCTGGAGATGATCAACAGCCGCATTATCAGCCCGGCCGACCAGCTGCTCGAGGTGATCAAGGTGATCCGGAAGGTCGCGGTTAAGCGTGATCACAAGAAGCTGGACTTTGATCGTCGCAACGCCACACTGAAAAAGCTCGAAGAGAAAAAGGACAAATCGCTCAAAGACGAGAAAGCACTATACAAAGCCGAGAACGATGTTGAGGTGGCAACCCAGGAGTTTAACTATTACAACGATTTACTAAAGGACGAACTGCCCAAGCTGTTCGCCCTCGAAGCCGAGTTCATCCGCCCGCTCTTCCAGTCCTTCTACTATATGCAACTCAACGTCTTCTACACCCTCCACGAACGAATGCAGGGTATGAACATCGCCTATTTCAATCTTGAACTCGACGTGGAAGAGGCCTTTGAGCAGAAGCGCGGCAATATCCAGGAACAAGCCGAAGCCCTTACCATCGTGCACTTTAAAACCCAAGGTGTCCGCCGCTCTGGATCCAAACTAGGCCCTCCGGGCAAGGCAGGCGATATCAAGAGATCCGATAGCAAGAGATCCGATACCAAAGGCTCCATCGGCCGAGGCCGTTCCGCCTCCACCGCCACCGATGACAACCCTCCACCACCTTATTCGTCTGCCGGCGCTAGCCCGACAGGCAGCTTCTCTTCCGCCGCCAAGAGCAAGGCCGCCCCGCCTCCTCCAAAGGCGAAGCCGTCCCATCTCAGTAAGCCGGTTGAGACTGTCACCGCTCTTTATGACTACGAGGCTCAGGCACACGGTGATCTGGGATTCTCAGCTGGTGATGTTATTGAGATTACCCAGCGCTCTGAAAATACCAATGAATGGTGGTCTGGGCGAATTGGAGGTCGGGAGGGCCAGTTTCCGGGTAAGTGTTTCAAGTCTTTCTTGTTGAATTTATTGCATTTTCTAACATTCCTAGCCAACTATGTGGAACTGAATTAGCACCGGATACCATTAATTTTCTAGCTCCTTTTTGTCCTTTGGCTCTGGCGCACATGTGGTTCTGAACATAGAGCGTTTCACCTGTAAATATTTGTGGCTTTTTTTTATGTATTGTTAATTCACTTGGTTCTGCTCATCGCAATTTGTTGCATTCAGTAGATTGGCTGTATTTGTTGCACAAGCTTCATACATATATGTATTCTAATCCCACCCTTTGAGACTACATTTGAACTTCAGAGCAGAACTCGTCCTCAATATAGACACTTATTAATGAGAAAGAGCACGGGAAACAGTCAAGTTCATCCACTCGTAGATCTACAATGCAGTCAAACGTCATGTAACGCAACTACGGCACTCGAAAGCAAGGAGTGAAAAATAATGAATATGACTTGGTATTAAAAATACATTTACACTTTGCAGATTGAGCCAAACGGAATGGTGAACCTGTATAGAACCTAATCGAAGAGAAAAAGAAAGAAAAAAAGAATGTACGCGTAAAGTCGATGTCTGGCCAAGATCCTGTACATCGAAATGAAAGGGAAGGGTATCTCTGAATTGCGGAGCGTTGCGCTCATCACACGATCTCATTGTTCCTTTGAACTCGATTGATCGTAATATCGTGTTCAACCGATATTCCATAGAAAGCATCGTTGTCGCGCGAGTTG